TGTAAGTGTTTTATAAATATGTGTTTTTTTTAAATAAACATTCCACGAGCAACGGTAAGCCTCTCACGTGTGCAAACCTAAATGAATTTCAGATCAGTCCAACTAAGGAAAAAGAGGAGATCGTTAGTAAGGAGGAACTTTGTAAAGTGACAAAGAATTGGCCCACCGAGAAATATCCGGAAGTCAAGGAAAGTTCATACCCCATGTAAGTTGGACGAATGTAAATGTACCTGTACAGTTTATAGGAGCTTATTAAGCCGAGTGTGTATTCGTTTTAGACTGCCTAAGAAAGACGAACGAAATATATTGATAACGTCGGCTCTTCCTTACGTTAATAACGTTCCGCATTTAGGAAATATCATCGGCTGCGTTCTCTCGGCCGATATCTTCGCAAGGTTCGCAGATACACTTAAAATAAGTCTAGTGATTTGTAACTTGAGAATGACATCGAGATTCGCGCAGGTATTGCAGGCAACGAAATTACAACACCCTCTACATATGCGGGACCGACGAGTACGGCACCGCGACCGAAGCGAAAGCTTTGCAAGAGAAAACGACGCCTCAGGCTATCTGCGATAAATTCTTCGACATACACAACGACGTTTATCGCTGGTTCGGCATCGGATTCGACTATTTCGGTCGCACTACTACACCCGAGCAGACAGAGTAAGAACGTGTATTTTTATATTCACATCCATCGCGGTCGTTCTCATGACAATTCCTTTCAGAATCGTTCAAGACTTCTTCCTGAAAATTAAGTCGCAAGGCTACGTGCTGTCCGAGAGCGTGGAACAGCTCCATTGCGAATCCTGCGATCGGTTTCTCGCCGACAGATTCGTGGAGGGTACGTGTCCCGGATGCAAGTACGAGGACGCGCGCGGTGACCAGTGCGACGGCTGCGGTCACCTCGTGAACGCGGTCGAGTTGATAAACCCCCGATGTAAGATCTGTAGCACTAGACCTGTCGTGAAAAACTCGGTACAGTTCTTTCTAGATTTACCCAAGGTAAGATTTATATCGCGACGCTCCGTTGACGCGGGTTTTTTTTCCCCCCCCCGGCGAAATGCGGGAATATATGCGTAAATCTTCCGTGTGTTGCAGCTAGAAGACAGGCTAAAGAAATATTCCGTTGCCAGGGAGAAAGGATGGTCCAACGTCGCGAGGGTGGTTTCACGAGCGTGGTTACGCGACGGTCTTAAGCCGCGTTGCATAACCAGAGATTTGAAGTGGGGCATACCGGTCCCGGTAGAGGGTTTCGAAAATAAAGTGTTTTACGTCTGGTTTGACGCCCCTTTTGGATATATCAGTATTACAAAGAGGTATACCAAAGATTATAAGGAATGGTGGCAACCTCCTCAGGATACAAAAATCGATTTGTGCCAATTTATGGCAAAGGATAACGTACCGTTCCACGTCATAATGTTTCCCGCTTGTTTAATAGCGGCTAATCAAAATTACACGTTGATGAGATATATAATGGCAACTGGTATGATATTTCCAAAGAATGCACGTTTGTCGGATGCACTTTATAACTCTATGCACATTTATCTCTTCATCTTTTCTTCTTTCGAATCTTTTTTTTTAATTTTATTCACGCGCATTCTTTTCGTCGATCTCTTCCCGTCGATAATTATTATTCCGTTTCAGAATATCTGAATTATGAAGATAAAAAATTCTCCAAGTCTAGAGGTATCGGAGTGTTCGGCACCGATGCCAGAGACACCGGCATTCCAGCGGACGTGTGGCGATTTTATTTGGCCTACATTAGGCCTGAAACTCAAGATTCCAATTTTAATTGGGTGGATTTAGCCACGAAAAACAATAGCGAGTTACTAAATAATCTTGGAAATTTTGTCAACAGGTTTGTAGCTACATTTCTTTGTAAATCATCAATAATTAACGTTGCGGTAATCTGTAATTAACAGTCTCGAAAACTTGTTACGGATAGAGCTCTGGTGTTCGCTGAAAAGTTCTTCGACTCTAATGTACCACCGATAGAGGCGGAAGAGGCTGATTGGACTGTATTGGCGTTAGCACAGCGCGAACTGTCGTCTTACATTAACGCCATGGAGCAAGCCAAGTTGAGGGACGGCTTGAAACACATACTGGCGATTTCAAAGCATGGCAATCAGTACATGCAATTCCAGCAGCCTTGGGTGAAAGTTAAGGGAAACGACGACGACAAGTATAACCAGCCTTATTTATTTTAACCGTGCTCTCATTGGTTCGTCCTTTTGAGTAATATTTTCGTTTGAAATCGACAGGAAAAAAGCTGGAACGGTCATTGCAATTTGCTGCAATTTAGCCTGTCTTCTTTCCTCTCTTCTGGCCCCCTTTATGCCCAGTACGGCCAAAGAATTGAGATTACAACTAGGTTTGAGTAACAAAAGTTACGGCTATATCCCTGAAACGATAACAAACATGTTACCTACGTGGCACAAACTCGGCAAGCCCAGTCCGTTGTTCACTAAGATCGAGGATCAAAAGATAGAGATGTTACGCAAGAAATACGCCGGCCAGCAGGAAAATAATGGCGAGGGAGCGAACAAAAGCTCCAACGAGAGTATCGCATCGTTAGAAGCTGCAATTACGAAGCAAGTCGGTGGATCTTTTTCTCTCTCCTTATAATATGAGAATTTTCTCTTTGCACGTTTTATGTATTTTCTAGGGCAATCAGGTAAGAGAACTGAAAGCTAAACACGACAAGAGCGTTTGGCAACCGCAGGTAGAAATTTTGTTAGATCTCAAAAAGAAGCTGAATGATTTCAAAAGTAATGCGAGCGCACCTGGAAAGAAATCGCCGGCGAAAAATAAAAAGGCCGGACCGACGCACGTGCCGGAACAAAATGGGGATGCTCTAACGAACGTGGCGGCATTGGAATCAGCTATCGCGAAGCAGGTATTGGACGTCATAACAATGATGCTATTTTTCTTCATAATTTAGCGTTCAAATTACTACATTACATCGCGACCTTAGGGCAATCTTGTACGGGAGTTAAAGGCTAAGGAAGACGGAAGTGTGTGGAAACCACAAGTGGAAATATTACTAAAGTTGAAACAGCGTTTGACAGATCTCACTGGAACGACGCCAGTCGCCGTTGACAAGAAATCTAAGAAGAAAAAGTAACTACATTTCCTTCGTAATAGAATGATGATCTATTGCGTTATTCGTGTAGTTATTTCGTCGGCACGTTCAAAGCGTGACATAATAGTATTTAACTAACAATAAGAAATACGCGCTGTATTTAATACATTTATTTTACCCTACTCGCGCGTTGTGTATCAGGACTTACAAGGGGAGGAATCGTGAAAACACATTTGTACTTTATTTAAATGCGTGCTCATTCTCACTACATATACCTATATGTATATACTGGTAATCTCATAAATAATTTACATAAAACTTAAGAATCTTATTATTAGAAATTTCATATCCTTTACTGATATCGTTCGGACATTAGCACCTGTTGGAAGAGTTCACTTGCTTTCGGAAGCACCAGAATAACGTTATTGCTAGGCGGTGCTTTATCTCTTAGCAACATCTTATTTTTCTTATCGGTTTTAATGCCTGTTTTAACATTTGATTTAATACTTTGTTTCATACCGAATTGAACAGCTGGTTTAATGTTTGATTTAACGCCTGGCCTCATGTCTGGCGTAATGCCTGACGTTCGCTTCGAACTCACCATATAGAAAATTAAGTGCTCCATACCGAATACAATGAGCGAAATTATCATACCGAAGAGCAGAAGAATCAAGATCGGCGCCACTTCGTAAATTGTCACACTGGAGACAAAGATCTCGTCGCTTGGGCAATAAGGCCTTCTGGCCGACCGGCGACGTATCTCTCGTCGCCGAAGTCCCGATGTAGATATCTTCAGTAATCTGTATTATAAATAATCTTGACTCAATATTTATTCTGAAGAACAAAAATTGCAGCATTCAACGTGTAGTGACGGTATATACTCACGCTCTTTTGGAAATTTCATGAAAGTGACTTTTAAGATTGGACCACAGGCCCAGCTCAGAGGGTTGCAATAGATGAACCTCCGTTAGCTGACATATCATCTGCTTGTCGAACGTATTTTCGATGGACGGATAGATATCGTCCGGATCCGCGTGATAAGCGAAGCCTCCCTTCATTATTCCCTGCACGCCATCCTCGATTGGGATAAATCTCTTCGATTCCGGTATAGCGTTCCAAAACTGCTTAAAATATTGCACCTCCGGTCGTTGGTTCTAGTAGGAAAAAAAAAGAGCTTGTCAGAGTGATTAAGCTCAGAAGTGTCGAATTGTTTTTATGACGCCTTTACCCGCAGCAGAAAATTGAAGAAGATATTTTTCTCGGCCGCGAACTTCATCTTACTGTGCGCCAACGAATACAGCGAGTCATTCATCTTTTGAAGGGGCTCGTTCAATCTAGCCGACACTATCGCCGCCGAGTAGTAATTATATACCAGCAGGCCAAAGACCGTGACCTGAATGAAGGCGATTCGACTCGCCGATTGATTAGTGAGGGAAGGAAAACCTGATCGACATTACGATAACAGAAGAATGAAATATATCTTTGCCGATCGTATCGTCGTGATCGTAAGTACCTTGCTGGCATAATGCGGCAACGGTGATCAGTGCCGAGATGCTGCAGCCGTAATCGTCGGCGCGTTCCAGCTTCAGTATGCAGGAGAGAATGATAATGATAACCACCACGATCACGACAATCATGTACCACGTGTCTGCCGCGAACGGCTTCAGTATTATCCAGGGTTTCACCTTCATCGCCGGTATGGTGCGAAACATGAAACAGGTGCTGAGTGAAAAATTAATCGCGCATCGGACAAGAGCGCGGGCTCTTATATCGCCACACGGAGAGAATTTTCTCTTAAAATGTACCCTGAAAATCACGTAATCATGGACCAACGTGGCATTTTCAAGAACTGTGCGAGTTTCTTTAATTTTACCATACATTCTACTATTGTAAAATGTATATAAGTGTATAATTACTAGTGGAATGTGTGGTCAAATTAAAAAACTCATAAAATTCTTCGAAATGCCGCGTTGTCCGACGTTTACATGATTTTCAGGATAAATTTTGAAGAAAAAATTCCGTGTACGTTTATCGTATTTTATTTACACAATTGTATAAATGTTCTCCGCCGGACAGATTGCTTACCGCGTGGGCCATTGTTGAAAGATGACACGCGCGTATCCGTATCTCTCGATCGTCAGGATGGACGGATAGTAACCCAGATCGGCGTCGTCCCTCTTCAAGGTGCCCATCAGGGGACCGTTACTGTCGTTCTTCTCCCAGTGGGTGATCTCGATGAGTTCCATGCTGCGCGCGAAAACGTTCGTTGAGCGCTCTATACACTACCCAGCGAGAGATGATTCGTCGATCGACGTCGAAATGATGTCGAATCGACGTCAAGTCGACGGTGTCGATGTCGATCGACGAATCATTTCTCACTGGGTATGTACGCGGGGATATGTATATGTATGACGGTCAATTACGTGAAGTTAAACATGTTGGCGACGTGCGAGAGAAGAGTGTGTCCAAATTTTGGCCAATTGTCCATGACTTCGAGGCTGTCGCCCTCCAGATAATCTATCAAACTCACGTCCTTTGGTCTGTGCACCACCTACGGATAATATAGTAATTGGAACACGCGTTTTTTCCCCCTCTAGGGTGAGGCTTACGATTCCGGCCGCCTTGGCTCGCAAACCCTGGAAATCTCGTCGCCTGCTGATCCTCGAACCGGTCACATTGATCGCGAGTCCGTCGTCCTCACGCCAGCTGCCCAGCCACGTAACGTTGAGCACTCCGCCGCGCATTTTGCAGTGATTGTACACGTCGTAGAGGACGTAATCCGTCCCGTTCGGCAGCAAGATCGCAAAATCCGTGACGATGCTGAAGCCGCTATCGTTCAAGCTCTGCAAACTGTGGCTCAAGTCGCTCGCAAAGATCAGCCAGACGTACGAGTAATCGAACATTCGATGCGCTGTACCCTGTACGCACAGATTTTGTCTTTTTACTTAATTTCCAAAGCGTAAAATATGCCTTACTTGTCTATGATACAATGGAATTCTCACTTCGTCGAAAATCCCGCTGACGTTCTGACTCGGGCACCGCGTGTCCACAAACACTCCCATAGTTCGATCGGTATTGAGGTACCTCGGTATATCGATTTGCGATCCGGCCGGCTTGATCGCCGTGGACATCCCGGCGGCGTTCAGCAGCTTCAGCGTGAGAAGATCCTCTGCACGAAGAAAATTAGAGCTCCAGCAAAAATCGCTCGCATTTTACTCTACGAAGATTATTAAGAAGTTTTACACGCGACTCACCGTCCATGTCGCCGCAGGAGAAACCCACCACTCTGGTCACTTTCTTGTAGACGAAGTAGTCGTGAATGATTCGGCTGGTTTGCGCGTACGCGACGGCGATGAACGCTTGCAGGAGAAAAATGCGCCACGTCGGATGCATCCTACCTCAGTGTGCACGAACCACGAAGCTGCGACGACGTTGCAAATGTTTCCGTCTCGTCATCGTTCTACGGGGAACCAAGATAATTTCGTGTCCGAGACAACAGCAGGACTCGAGGTAGAAACGATTTGTAGAGTTCGGGGTCATCCATAATATCCTATAACGTCGATTGACATGACAGCATAATCACGGCGGCTACTGTGATACAAACCATATACAGGGTGCGTCGTTACTCCTGTCGTTTATCTCTGCAGATTCTCCCACCAATTTAGGACTGAGGCTTCTTCAACGAGGAACTTATTCAGTTAACAGCTTTTGAATTCTGTAGGCGTGGACTACGTTCAAGTGGTTTACGCGACGGTCAACGCGTTGAAAAATTTCAACGGAGCGTCCGCGAGACACCCTATGCACGATTTCCTCTTCAGTTTCTAACTTCTCTACTTTCTGTCCCTATTTATTGCCCTATTTATCTGTCCCCTTTATCAATTACCCCTGAACTCAAGTCTAATCTGTTACGATCGATCTGCCTGTCTCCCTACTGTCTATTATCCGGCTGTTTTCTACGAAAGTATTCATGGGAAAGTTTCTCTGGAGACTGTTTTTCGATGCAAAGTGAATTCACAACTTTATTAGGGCAAATATTGGACTGGGAAAAAGTTACATTTTGTATAACGCGTGCTGTCCCACCGCATGAAATAAATATACAATAACGAGACACTAACGAATGTACCAATTATAATACGCGAACGACTCGTGAATATTTTACTTCCCAAGGCGAGACGGTTCACGCGGACAAATTATTTTTGCTCGTGCCGGCCTCCTCCTCCTCCTCCTTCTCCTCCGCATCACCGCTGCTCAATCGTGTCAGCATTTCTTCTCTGCGAGCAAACAAAAAATGATAATTACTCTCCGATGCCCTAAGACGTAGACGCGAGCATCAGCCTACCTCTCGAGTCGATAGTATATGATATTCTCGATAATGCATATTATGCCTCCGATGAGTACGCCGAAAGACCACAGGATCAAAGCCGGAGCGGTCTCGTATACGGATATGCTTCTCGTGGACAACGTGTCGATCGTGCACTGAGGCTTCCTGCTCGACCAATACTTGATCTGTCGATCGCGTAACCCGGTATTGAACATCTTGGAAAGTCTGGGGAAGAATTCCTTAACTGCTGCGGGTGCTCTCGTCGCAAGGGAAAAGCGGCACACGGAAGAGCTTACCCGATTTTCGCCATCTCGGTGAACTGACCGTTGCGACTGGCGTACATACCCATGACGGACTGCTTGAACAGGTGGATCTCCGTCAGCGCGCAGATCTTGTGAGGCTCGAACGTCTGTTCGATGTACGGATACGCCGTGTTCGGGTCCGTGTGATAGGCCAGGATTCCCTCGCTGACCTGCTTCATACCTTCCTCTATCGGCATGTACCGCTTCGACTCTGGCAGAGAATCCCAGCGCTTCTGCCTGAAGTAATTGGTCGAGCTGAGTTTCTGAAAATATTAAGACGAACGATTATACAGCCTTTCCGCGATACTCCGCGCGTACGATCTCGACGTGTCCGAAAACGTGCGTACGTATAAAAAGTAGTTGAGATACGGCACAGCCTCCGCCGCGATTTTCAGATCGCTATCCGCGAGAACCGTCACGTCATCTTCCATCTTATCGAGCGGCTCGCTCAAACGAGCCGACACTATACCGCCCGAGTAGTAGTTGTACATGATCCAGTTGAACACGAGGATCTGCAGAAGAGCGATACGGCCGGGAATGCGTTTAGGAAAAAAATTTGTGCCTGCGAGATAGATATGTATATATATATATATATATTGTCGTTAAATTGCAATTAAGACGGCACTTTTCATACACCCGTCATTTTATACCTTGCTGAGCGGTAACGCCGATAGTAGTAACCACAGCGTCGGAATAGGTCTCGTCTGTGCTCGTCTCCTCGCGTTTCATTATTATTCTCATCACGAACATGAAGAACACTATAAATACGGCGCTCAGGTACCAAGTATAAACCGAAAACGGCTTAAAGAAGATCTTAAGTTTGATGTTGCTCGACGGGGTGGACAGCAGCATGAAGCAAGGTCTGCGGGAAAGAGATTAATCGTTCACTAAACCATGTCAGGTTGACGTTGTCTTAACGCAAAGCGAAGTCTCGATACCGAATCGGCCACGCCGCGCCGATCAGAGATGCTTTTTCTAATCTTTCAGACACCATAATCCTAGGATTACTGCCAAAGTCGATGTAGTTCGCTTGTAAGATCTCGAATATCAAGCCGTGCACGCTGTGACGATCCCAGTAAATTATCTCCGAGGCGTGTACACTAAAAAAAAATTTTTTTTAAAGACAGTTATTAGCTACCAAAAAGACGGAAGTCTGTCTTAAAAAGTGAAGACTACCTAAAATTGAAAAGATCCGCGGTATGAGATATCATCGCGTACACGAATTTGTGCATGCTGTCCAAAGATCTGGTGTTAATGTCAACCATATAATCCTCCAATCGCATGTTTTTCGGCCTGTATTGTATCTAACGATAAAGCATGCGATAACAAACAATGTAATTAAATGTTCCTTCTTTTCTCTTTAAAGCCACACATTATCCAGTTAACATTTCCATTATTACACGCACCACGCCAGACATCTTCAGCGTCATGCCGTGCATGTTAGCCCTTCTGTGGACCAAGGGTTGGGTCAGAGTGACGGTAAGACCCTCTCCTCGTCGCCACAAGCCCAGCCACGTCACGTTCAGCGTACCTCCGCGATACTTGCAATGATTATAAACGTCGTAAAGATCGTAGCCAGTGCCGTTCCTTATCGCGAGCGCGAAGTCGGTCGTCATGCTGTAAGCGCTGTCGTTCAAAAGCCGCACGCTGCTGTCCAGCTTCGATCCCAGGGCCAACCAGTGATACGAGTAGTCGTACATACGATACCTCGAGGTCTGACAAATATAAAATATCAGCTCCTTCTCGCTTCCTTCCTTTTTACGAGAAGATCGGAAATATCGCGTGAATAAGAATGAATATAAGAATCGATTTTATAAAGCTCTTTACTTCGGCGAAGATGGCCACGGCGCTCTTGTTGTGACAACGCAAATCCACAACGACCCCCAAGCTCCAGGCGTCAGTTCTCAAGAATCGTCGTAGGTTGAAATCCGTGCTGTGCCTCCGGATGATCGTATATATACCGGCTCTGCTTAATGTCTTCAAGAAGTAAAAATCGCCTGCGATAAAAAGAGAACGTGCATGAGAGAGAATTTTTGTTAAAAAGCATTTATAAATTGTACGCTTTTATCAAATGAATATATTGATACTTTAAAGGCTCCACCTACTCGTAAAATCTCCGCAGGAAAATCCCACGACATTTCGCACTGCCTTGTTTACAAAGTAGTCGCGAATAAAATCGCTGTCCGCGGCGTTAACGTTACAAGCGAATTGCAATAAGGCAAGGAAGAATGCCACACACGTTACACCGCGCTTTAATTTCACATTACGCATATCGCCGTGGAAAAAGTAAATGGCCCGCGGATTTTAAGTAACGTTGAGCCTGCACGCATGAATACGAGTAAACGAAAGAGATAACGAAAATAGAAATGCAGTTCGATTGAGTTTGCACGAGTCGGCTGCGACATGCTTTGAATTTTTCAGCATCGATATAATATTGAATGTGATATCCTGAAATCGAACGACGTCTTATCGTTTATTTATCGTTCACCGCTACGACATTCCGTCGGGGAATGAGAACTAGAAAACGTGTCACTGTCAAGCTACAGCAAACCGCACACGATAATTAATTATTTGCGCGTACATCTAAACACACGAGCTATCCATGATAAAATCTAATTAAACAAACGTCAGAGTGGCATATAGAAATTATTATTTGATCATTCGCGCGAGAATATTTCGCCCGGCGAAACAGGCGTGCTGCTCTTCCTCAATGTCGAAAAGCATAGCTTTCCCCGTAGTCCGTTGGTAGAATATACTGATAATCTAAAAAAAGACAGACCAAACAATCGAATGGAAAGTTTGAAATTCGCTATTCTTTCTCTCGACTCTTCAGCTTTTTAACGTCGATCGTTACCGGGGACGTATCCAACAGATGAGGTTTTCCACTATGCAGATTATGATAGCTAGCACGGTGGCGATGCCAACAAACACGAAAACGGGCGTAGCTTCGTGGATCGACAGCGGCTCCGCGACTAGCATATTTTTCGGACAAAACGGTCTCCTCGCCGACCAGAATTTCAGCTGCCGCGTGCGTATGCCCATATCATACATCTTGGTCAAGCTGCAATAATAAACGTTACAATGACAATTCGCTTGAAGAATTAACATTTAAACGATAAGGCGGAGGAAAGTCCGCTATTGCGAGATAGGCTTCTAATATGAGATATAGATATATCCTTATCCGCTATCGAGACCGCCTTAAACAGAATAATTTATTAATTTATTAATAATATGAACTAAATGTTAAAAATCCATTGACCTGTGTGCTGTTCTGATGATAGAGGAAAATCCTCTATTATGAGATAAGTTTCTAACATAAGATAGCGGGTTTTCTACATCTAATTTCACAAATCTTTTTCGCTATAATTACACGAGCGAACAATGAATTTTTCACAAAACAGATTTCACTCCTAGGGCAATAAATTCATGGTGGAACCAACAAATGACGTCTATTAATTTAGCAGAAACCGCGCTCTCTCATAATAGGGGATTTTTCCTCTATGTGTGTAGGTGTCTACTTATTCGCGTCGCCATAGTACAGCAATAAGTATAGCACTCTAAAAATCGTTATTTTAATAGTAATACTAATTGTAAACGCCATTGGCGTATTTTCCTACCCGATTTTCAATAGCGGGGTGAACGGGCTCCTGTGCCTGCCCCAAAGGGCGAGGACCGCGCGAAAGAGATGGACCTCCGTCAGCTCGCATATCATCCGCTGATAGAAATGTCGATCGATATACGGATACGCGGATTCGATCGAAGTGTGATAAGCCAGGCCGCCCTTAGCCACGCGATCCATGCCCTCCGCCAGTGGCAGATAACGCTTGGATTCCGGTAGTTTGTCCCACCGTTTCGCGTTAAAATACCGTATCTCTTTCTCCGGTGTCTTTCAGGGCGAAAGAACGGGCCGAGAAGTGCGTAGATGCGACAAAAAAATATTGTGTATTTTGAGTAAAATTATTTACGATTCTTTACATTATAATCATTGCAGCTCCTTCTTTATCAAATTAATCATTGGACTATATAAAAGAGCGTCTACCTGTAGAAAAGAACGAACGTATGGCGTCTGCTCGGCTGCTACTCTCAGATTGCTGTCCGCCAAACTGATCAACGAGTCGTTCATCTTCACGTCTACGTTTTTTAAACGGTCGGACACGATGCTCGCCGAATAGTAGTTCAGGATTAACACGCTGAAGAGCATGATGTGTATGAATGCTATGCGACTCGCATAATGCACCGGAACGAACACGGAACCTGCGAGGGTGAAAGTTAATCTACCGACAGCTCTTCATCTCCTATGCGTTGCTTGATTCAAGAGTTAACTCAAGAATTAATTCAAGAATTAACTCAAGAATTGACTCAAGAGCTGCGAGAATGAAGGAAGAAGCTTTCTACCTTGCTGGGAAATGGCGCCCAACGTAAAAAGAATAGCAATGTTGTAGCCCTCCGCAAGAGTCTGAACGCCTTCTTGCTGTCTGATCAATATTACCAGAACGGACGCAGAGACTATTATTGTGGAGAGCACCACGTACCAGACCTTAATATTTAACGGTCGCAAAAATTGCTTCGTCTTGAAGTTCGCCGAAGATATCGTCCGGAATAAGAAGCACGATCTGCGCAAAAAAGCAGTTTGCTCATGCACCGGTCAGCACTTCGTTATCGCGCATCACGAAATTACGCACCGCATCGGCCATACTGGACCGATGATATCTCCCGACCGTAATCTCTCCGCCTTCATCACGATCGGGCTGGCTGAGATGTCCACCGTCTTCTTTTGAAAAGCGACGAACATCGGCGCGGAATTGTCCTGCCGCTTTCTCGGATCCACCTCCACGATATCCATGCTTAATTAATTAAAATAATTATAAAAGATATTTCCGTACTTCATAAAAGAGATAAGTGCAACAGTATACTTCAAAATAATGTTCGTCCGTTCCAAAAGGATTCTTACGTGAAGTTCAAGAGATCAGCCATGTGTAACAAAATCGTGTACAGGAATTGGGACCGGCCGTATTTCGCCTTCATGTCTTGATCCAACGCGATCTCGTCCGCCGACAAATTGTAGAACCTACGCGGCAGCTACGAGAGATTTCCGGATGAATAAATTATTATTATCGTCAATTGCCACACTTTCTCGTTGAGAGCTAATCGGTTTACTTACCAAGACTCCCACTTTGACCTTCATACGATGCAAGTTGGATCTCCTCTCGTACTTTGCTTGCGTCAGTCTGATCGCCATGCCGGACTTCTCGGTCCAGTAACCCAAAGCTGTTACGTTCAAGCGGCCACCGCGTGATTTGCAAGGATTATACACGTCGTAGAAATCGAAACCGGTCGAGGTCTCTATGGCAATCGTGATGTCGGTCACTACGCTGAAGGAGTCGTCAATTAAGTAGTTCACGGTTTCGTTCAATTGTCGTCCCAAAATCAGCCACTTGTGCATCTCGCCGAACAAGGAAGATTTTGTGGCCTTAAATAAAAGAGAGATTAATACCAAGAACTTTGGCATTGCTGCCTCAACGTCCGCCGCTTTGTTATCTTTCTTGACCCTTGCCTGTTCCTCCCCTCCTCCGGTTACATTTTCACATACATTACTCTTTATTCTTACATCATGTTACACATTCTTATAATTCTAGACTACTCCATGCGATCGATATACCATATAATTCAGAAATTTTTTGAAGGAACGTCTTTTACCTCGGAATATATCACGGTGTAATTGTGTCCGTCGCATCGCGCGTCCACGTAAACGCCTAAATTGCGATTGTTGTTCTGTAAGAGCCTCCTAAGAGTACGTATCGACGACCCGTTCACATTTCCGAGGCTCCATATCGACGTGAGTACAAAGACATCGTTGAACGTCCTCGCAAATCTCACGTCGCCTGTCAGGCGAGAGAAGCTTGTAATATAATAATTATACACGAGTTACCCTTTACAGAAATGTAACAACTGGGAACGAAAAAAGCACTGAACAATCACTGGAATTCAGTAATTGAATTATTAGAAATTACTGATGTACAGTAATTTTCTAGTAATTATTTCGGTTACATTTCTATAAGGGACTTCAATCGTCCAAATAGCATTACGCACTTTCGAGACCGCCGCAAGAAAACGCGACAGCGTGGAACACGCCTTTGTACATAAAGAAATCTCGGGCCATGATGTCGCTTGTGCAAGAAACGAGCAATACACGCGATAGAAACAGTAACTTCCAACTTCCGTGAGGCATTTTTCTTAAATTATAGGTACGAATTACACAGAGATTATACCAGGAGCTTGAAGAAGAATAAAGCAGTCGTTCCTACGACTACGTCCGTCGCATCGTCAAATATTCAAAGCGCAAGTGTCCCTCATGAAAATTTCACTTTAAGCATTCTCACAATTTGAAATATTAATTCCTACGATTGGCTCGATTCACATATTCATCTACCTTGTGTACGGCTACTTAATATTTTATTGTATTCATTTCTCCGTATTTCTCTCGCGCTGTCGTTTCGGGATTTTCGCATTTCTGAGAGGGCGAAAGTAAGGAAAAAGTTGTAGGAGTTTCACTGAGAAGATCACGGACAAGATCAGGGAAATTTGGCAAGATTGAAAAACGTGACGATTATTGCGAAAGGAATATTAAAGTCGTACTTTCAATTAATGTAATTTGTACTCTTTCTAAATGTAATGTAGCATTACGTATATTAAGGATACATTCCGATACGATACGCACGCACTCAGAACCGAGGAGTTTTCATAAATAAAGTAACTTATCAATGACTAGTACAGATTATTGCGCGATCGCCGCTCGAGCCGTAATCGTGGGTTCGCAAGTTCTCAAATCGAGAAATCCACCAGGATTCGGTATCCATAAATGTTTACTGTAGTGCGTAGGGCGGAGCGTCGTTGGTCAACAGATAAAACTTGCCACGCAGCCTGGACGAGAAGAAGACAAATCGTGATCAACTGCAATCGGTTTTGGCAAGTCCGAAAATATAAACAAGGGTATCTTACGAGGTAGAGGCGTATTCGCCCATCAGCACGACCGGATTGTAATCGCAACGACGCTCCTTGTATTTTTCCCAGTTCTCGCACATTCTCGCCTTGAAGCCCACCGTGCTGCCGATGCTCTCGGTCATAAGTTGATGCGCCCTCGAGTGGCTGCAGTAAGCTGCAACGCAAAGAGACATCGAAACATCGTCTCGTCAATATTCCCCGTGGCGAGGTAACGAACACCTTACAACACTCACTTATCGTCGGCACGAAAGAGCATCCGGGTTGCGGGATCTTGCCGTCGTTTGGATAGAAATCGGCATGTCCCAATGGCGCCGAGAACCCGAACACCGGGCCGCTGGTGTGGATCACGTCGACGAATTGAGCATCGGTCGGATCCAGCCGGAATTCCGGATCGACGATACCCGAGATGGTCTCGAACAGAGGACTCGCGGGATCCAGCCCTTCCCGGGGGAAATCGTGGGATTATGCTCGCGACATACAGCCAGTACTTTCGCTCTCGTAATTCATCGACACCGATAACAAGTATCGTAACTGCATTGTTCACTTACAGCCTTTTCCCAGCGCTGTCTTATCAATAATACCTCCCAAGCAAATATCGTAACTCTAGTTCGCGTAGCTCCGTTATCTCTTTAATGTTCATCAATGTATTTTTCTATCGTAAGAAGAATCCTTTGGGGAGAAAGATCATTGTATAGATAAAAATTCCGCTGGGAAGAGTCTCGATACTTTTCATTAATGTCCTCGAGCTTCTGGCGAAGACATTGCCACGCGTCCACCGAATCTACCTGTTATTCTTCCGACGCGTCCGTCGTGGTAAGCTCCGGCGAAGCCCGCCACGTAGGAGCCCAGGCTGTGACCGCTGATGTGTACGTCCTTGTACTCCAGATTCGAGTCCCGATTCAAAAAATCCAGGAACTGGCCTAAGTACTCACCGACAATACGCGTGTTCTTAGCCGCCACCGGGTAGGCGTCGGATGCCAAGATTCCCCAGCCGACGACTATCACGTTCACATCCTGATAAAGCAGATACGCTAAAAATGCAATTGAATGTTATATCTCTATCTTTAAAAAAAGATTTTTTTTTTCGTTCAGAAGCGACGCTTTGGAGGACAAGGAGAGATGAGGGATCGGCGGAAATGAAAAAGTCAAGCGCGTGATATAAAAAAAGGCGGCTCTTCCGCCAGTTTCTGACGAGAGAGAGAGAGAGAGAGAGAGAGAACGTGCGAGTAAAAACTTGCAAAACGATTAATTAAGCCGTTATCGCGCTTGACCCTTGAACCGACAGCGACGTCGATTCCGTGTTTACCGAAATAGGCTGACCCTGATTGTTTTTGTGAAAATAAAAGCCGGCGGTAGCAAGTAATGCCAGTGCGTACCCTAGTAGCACAATACATTGGCGCAATGTTGGAAAATAATGTAAATCTAGTATTCCTAATATTGGTCCAATATTATAAGCTGGACGCCTTCTCTCATTTAGCCAACGTGTCTATTTAGCAATGTTGGTTTAATATTGTATCAATATTAGACCAATATTCTTACTACATTGTTAAATATTGACCAACGCACTTCCAATATACATCTAATATTATATAATTATCGCCGTGCAATATTTACATCTATTCCACGGCCAATATTGGCTTTACGTTGAACAATATCGGCCGATGCATTTCTAATATAACATCGGACCAATGTTTAGCTAATGTTTAGCCAATGCACTGTGCTACCAGGGCAGCGACGCAGTACCTAAATTCCACCCACCGTCCACTAGATCACGTATCCAGCCCTCGTTTCCGGTGTCGCTGAATCCGTGAACGATGAACTTGGTCGGCCGGCTCTCGTTGAGATGCGACGCGTACAACACCTCGGTGTTGTTCAGGAACAGTTGCTCCTCGCCGAACGGGTTCTCCCTGCGGCGAGGCAACACCGTGACAAGGGCATTCGCATTGCGACAGAGTGAGTTTTGACGCACCTCGTTAAACGTTTAAAAGTCTCCGTTTGAACGACGGTTCTTGCCGCGCGCGTTCAAGTTTCCTCGCGAGCTCGCTACTCGTACGTTTCATCGACGTGAACAAAGGTGAAAAGTTAGAACAATGTCAAGAGGCGCCTTCCTCAATCTTGTTTGCCGGAAAGAGAGGGAAAAAGGAGAGGAAGAAAAAAAAAAGAGGGCGGGAGTCAATCCGAAGACGCGATATTAAGGCGTCAACGCGGCGCGGCGCCTCGATACTCGATAGTCGATCGAACGTCAGCGCTGAGAATAGAATGCTCGCTGATTGCACGTATCATTAAAAAATTGATGCATCCTCCACGGGGCAGGCCGGCGATAACGGTGCCACGGTGTATGGAAATTAGCCGCGCCGGCGTGTGACCGATTCCCGATCGGCGCCAAGATTATGCTCTGGCAATTTACGTGAAACAATTTATTTCGGGAGATACGCGGGCAAGGGACGCCGCACGCTTCACGCGACGAAGGGAAACGGCGTGAACGCGCGATCCCGTGTGATGTAATTGGACTTGGAGTGCGATCGGGTCGCGCGACGGTGAAATCGTCCCCTCTACAACCCTTGAGCAAAACGGCTCCCTTTTCTCTTCCGATCGACTGAACCTTTCGCGTGTACACGTATCCCTAGTAGCACAATGTATTGGCGTAATATTGGGAAATAATGTAAATTAGTATTCTTAATATTGGCCCAGCATTGTAAGACGGACGCCTTTTCTTATTATTTAGCCAATATATCTATTTAGCAGTATTGGTCTAATATTGCATCGACGTTAGGCCAATATTGTTATTACATTGTTAAATATTGGCCAGCGCACCTCCAATATAAATCTAATATTATATAATTATTATCGTGCAATATTTACACTTATTTCAGGGCGAATATTGGCTTTACGATGAATAATATCGGTCAGTGCATTTCTAATGTGACCAACATTGGACTAATATTTTAGCCAATGCGCTGCGCTACTAGGGATGCAGCTGCTATCTTGTAAATCGCAACGTCGTATTCCACCTTCATTGCAAATCGTTGTCGCAACGGCGAGATAATCGTACGCACCTGGTGTACAATTTGAAGGTCGCCGGTTCGCGCTCCAGCACCGTCTCGACGATCGACGCTCGCGCGTTGTCGTTCAGCAGCGTGCCCTCCGGATACGCGTACGCTGGAATTAACAGCCGACAAATTGATCCGGGATCGATCCGGGCAACGGTCGCGAGTCCAAATTCACGGAAACAGCGGGGCCGGGGGAGGGAGAGAGACAGAGAAAGCGAGGGATTTTTGCGTGTCGGTCCGCGAGCGAGATCTCGGACCAGTGATTACCTGACCAGGCGAGGAGGACGGTCGAAAGGACGAGAAGCTCGACCTGCGACATGTCTCGGGGCGAGATGCTGCGCGGCGTACCAGTCGTCTCTACGAGATGCACCGGATTACTACTTTACACTTGGTCGGCTTAACGGCGGGCCCGTCATTCATCCCGCGCGCTTTCCTTTTGCTCCTCCACCAGAACTCGGGAGTACGATAAGAGCATCTAACGCCGCCGCCGCCGCCGCTGCCGCACTCGTCACCTCGACAGTTTATTTCAAACAGGAACCAGCGCTCAATTACTGCAATGATACATCTTGGTGTAATATTGTTCTAAAGAATGCACCTGCGATTAATACATAATGTAAAATAGATTCGAAAGATCATAGTTTGAGGCGTTGCCACATCTCTTACACTACACTCATGTTTACTGCATAATTCTTTCCATCTTTCAGTTTTAACTGTTTATATTGTAGAAACGGAGAGCGTTTTGATTTGTCAATCATTTTGATTTCTTTCCCCAGTCATTCGTTCCATTTTACCTTATAACATATTTGCTTCTCCTACGAATCTTACTCACCGTTAAGCTTAAAGAAAAGGAAATGTGCCATTATTTGCGTTTGCAGACGCAAGTATTAATATTTTAACAGGTAATAATATGTAAATAATATTTCACGTGTAATAATACTACAACGAATTATGTCGTTACGTGTAACAATATTTTTAACGTGTTTTACACGTAATATTTCGTACAACGTAGCAAACTTTAACATTTTTTTTTTTTTTAGAACTTTGAGACGGTCAATTTAAATTTAATTAGTTTTATTTTGCACGTGTTAATGTAAAGAATGAACGGTAAAAATTTGAGACGATTCTCACATAAAAGATTTTACGAAACACACTACCTTAACTCGCGTTTGCTGTCGCGGGTATTGAGAATCGCTTCCTCGCCACATTGCAGCCACGTCCCGAGTAGGAAACACCTGAAAGAAAGCCTGAAAGAGTGAACCACGAGGAATTTTTTTATGAAACCGCACTGAAACGGTCCGGCTTCGCGAGCCAATTAACAATTATATCTAATTAACTTGCAACTCTGCGGCTTAATACAAGGAAATACACGTTCTTAAAAAAAAAACAAATGTTATACACAATTAAATACGTACTTATAGATAATTGTTAGTTGCGCACGAAGAAATAATTGAGAATTAAATTTGAAAAAAGAAATAGTACAATGCCGTAACTCACGTTTTTCTCAAAATGACAACGGATTCGATTACCTTGCAAGCAGCAAAGTCAAGATAGAAAAATTCAAAGAGCACGTCAGCCCAACATCGATTTCACCGTGAAATCGTCGGGACGCGAAGGGTTGAGAGACCTGCGATAAAAACGATTTGCGTCAGGGCGGCGGACTGTCAAACGACACGTACATTTGAAACACGTACCGGTTTTCTGAAAGACTGTTTCTGGGCCGAGGCAAAGATTTGTGCAGCATCGCAGCTGCGTTTGCGCATCGATTGGAAAATTGTTAAAGGCCTCCTCACCTTTTTGACAGAAGAGACTCGCGTCTCTCGGGAAAACGTTCGGATGATAAATACGTAACGATACCGACCGCAGCTCCGCTACAAGCTTGGGCCTGTACCCCGATAGATGGTGCTTCACGCGGTTTTTTTTTTTTCACAAAACGGCGCACGCGCATACGTACGTGGAAACGAGCCGACAGGTCGACCTGTCAAAATCGGCAGCTGCGGGATCGAGTTTGCTTGCGCGTAAACGCTCTGGAAAATGGTACGTGCGCAAATAAAGAAAGAATTCAACGTTGGATCGTTCCCGGGTTCCCATCGATTTTTCCGAGTTGTCTTTACTCGCGTTCGCGTCGTTCTCGTTATCGGGGGTGACGTCAACAGGTTCGTTGACTCGCGAGGTTATTTTCCACGTCTCGAATTAACTGCTTGGAAATCCACTCGAGCTCTGTGCGGTCAGAATTCCTTATCGGTCGCTTATCAGTCGCGATTTTCTCCCGTAAATTACTGTAACGACAGAATGTGGGAATACACGTCGTTACGGCATACAAAATTATTGTTTACATCAGACTGCCGTGACGCAGTCGTCCACGATGCAGGATTGTCGTAACCGTTGCGGTAGGACTTGAGTCGGTGTCGAAAGGCAACGCACAAGAAACTCTAGACGTATGTCGTATCCCTCGCGTTGCATCGCGAGGCGACGTACGGCAATTCTTTGACTTGCGTCTCACGACGGAATCGTAAACCGTTACGACAATCCTTCCGCTCAGGTCCTAAGCCTAAGGAACAAGAGAGAGTAATCTCTCGTAACTTTAAAGCGTCGTCTACAATACGTGGAGTAAGCCTGGCGTAAGAGAGAACCGTAAGGCTGATGGCAGAGAACAATCCGTAAACGCTTAAGACTGTCGTAGACGTAGGGCAAGGCAGAGAGAAACGTAAGTCGTATACAATAGCCTTTCACGACTTACGTTTCTCTCTGCCTTGCCCTACGTCTACAACTGAGACAGTCTGAAGCGTTTACGGATTGTTCTCTGTCATCAGCCTAACTTTTAAGGCTGGTCTACAATACATGGAGTAAGCTGGAGTAAGGAGTAGGAGTAAGAAATAAAATGGATTTATTTCCTTACTCCTACTCCTTACTCCAGCTTACTCCATGTATTGTAGACCAGCCTTTAGCTTTTGGCGTAAGGAAGCTGAGCACAGGCATAATTTTTCAGATATCCTAACACCGGCGTTCTGATTCGCCAAGAGTCAGAACTGACGTAGGAGTAAGAGATAAAATTGATTCAATCTTTTTTATTCCTTGGCCCAGGCTCGCTCTACGCATTGTAGACGGCGCATGAGAATCGTGCCGTATACGCCGACGCAGACATGTTAAAGCGACGATACTTGAGCTCGATTTTTTGTTGATTAAAGAGTTAACTGACTCTGCCGACGCATCATGTCGCCAGAGCCCACGCAGGAACCCGTTCAGGAGAGTCTGACCGTTTCCAACGTAGTCCTGGACGCTAGAGCGGCGAACGATGAGGAAGACAGCGACGACGAGGATATGGGTATGGCCGGATACCTGCCGCTGTCCCAAGTGTCCACCGATGCCGATCCCATATTAGGCGAGGAAGAGGTACTTGGGCGAAGCAAAGCAACAGTGCTTTCATTCTATGACGCGAACAACTTCTACAGCTGATCGAACGATCCCTTTCCCGTTACAGAACGACGAATGGCTGTCTGGATTTGACGAATCTAGTCAAGTGTCATCCGCTCCAGCTGAAACGGAAACTCAACAAGTGAGTGTCTTCTTTTGATGAAGAAAATTGAGAAGGAGCTTGGAAAGATTCGTCGGTTATTCTATTTGTGGACATTTACACGCTCCACGAAACAATCGGAGAGTCACATCTGCGCTGTAATATTTCAGAACTGTTCCTCAGATATATTGGAAGTCTGGTCGTGTCCGCACAACCGTTCCGACATCGATCTGGACGCGACTAAAATCAAAGAAGTAAAATCCGTGATGGCGTCCGTCACCATCCCCGAGGCTTCCATCCCGCAGTGGGCGAGCGCGATCTCGGAGGAGCAATGGAAGGAGCAGCTTCTCGTGCGCATCAAACAGATGCAGAACAAGGATTCGTAGAGCTGACGTTGCAACGTAGTCGGTGGCTGCAACGAAAAGTTAAAATCTCTACGCGACGAGCGGTACATCTGAAATTATTCCAAGTATAAGTCATTACGATGCGGGAAAAAAGAAGAGGCGCCTGTCGGGCATCTCTGAATCGTATATACATATATTTTAGCGTTTAAGTGTAAAAAGGAATAAAATATTTGATTTTTATATCTGTTGAGCCACGAGCCGTTTGTTTCTCTCTCGAACAGGGTTTTAGCATCTTGTTAATGCGTAGGACACGTATGGAAAACATATTCGAATTGTAAAGTATATTTTTATTAGTTTCGTTTTCTTTTCATATGTTGGAAGCAGATTATAAGAGATATATATATATATATAATAGATTAGTTTAATCAATAAACATCGCTTTTTCTCGACGAGACTGCGCTCGAAATGAGTAAAACGCACATGATACCTCATCTTGATGCTATTCTAGTGAAATATGACGTAATTCTGAATCGCAAACATTCCATTGCGCTCAAAGTTTCCCCCCCGCGTTCTATACTTGATCGCGCACACCGCATAATCTATGTAAGGAGGCACGATGCGACTTTATAGTTCAAACTCCGTGTCTATGGCAGCGGCTTTGATTGGATTCAGTTTCTTCCGTAAGGCAGCAACATCGTCTTCTATTTTTATCAATTTCCGATATTTCTGGAAAGAGACGAGTTATCGCTATCGTATTATCATTCATACCGTCTCCCGCGCGATGTTACATACCTCTGAGGTAGTTCCGGGTGTAACGAGCCAGATGTAGATCATGTAACCTGGAATGCACAACATCGAGGAAAGACCCGCGAACCATCCCAGCAAATGGCTCCACCACGGAAATTCGTACGTAAGGTATTTCACAGGAACGAATTTGATGATATTAAAGATGAAAACGCCCTGTACGCGACGCAAGGTGTAATAAGTAGATAGTAGCACGTTATAATATAATTCTGAGCCATACTGCCGGAACAAACTGGAGGTCTTACCACACAAATGGTGGGCGTGGTAAACGTCCAGCAAATCTTCCACCAGAAGCAGGGATAGTAGCCTATCATGTCCCGTATGCCGTCGTAAAATCGGTTCACCCCGAACGCCCATGAGACGGAGATGCACTCGAAGAACATCAGGAAGAGTAAACAGAATCCGCTCACGGCGTACGTGTCCAAGAGTTGAAACACGTACATACCGCCCTGGATGTAAGATTAATTCTCGTCAATTGATGTTAAAAGTAATCTGATCTTCTGCCGAAGAATACAAAGTTAAAAATAATAAGATGTAAAATACCCCCTTGTACTTTTATGAAATACTTTTTAGATATTACTTGAGCAATACGGTACTCACTTCTGTAACGCATAAAAGCCCGATTAGATAGGAGATCAAGCATACGATCGCGATGAACAGTTCCTTCCGTTTTCTGAGTATTCGCGGCCACTCGTCCACGGCGGCAGTGATGAAGCCCTCCATGGTGCAGAACTGGAATGCGACTTGTTTTTAACATTAACATTAATCCGCTAGTCTAGGACAACGGACGTCGATTCTTGAATTCGATGAACGTACGTTACCTGACTGTCCAACCCTATGAGGAGGAGCATAAAGAAGAATAGACTCGCCCAAATTGACGAGCCAGGTAGTTGAAGCACCGCCGATGGATAAACTAAGAAGGCCAAACCGGGCCCTGATCAAAATGACGGATAGGACCAAATTATTATCGTATTATCATAATTGGAAACGGATTAAGAAGGAAAAGTCGATAGCTACCAGAAGCGGCTACGTCGGCCACTGGTTTCTGTTGCTCGTGGGCCATAAAACCGACTACGGAAAATATGACTACGCCGCTGAGCAGGCTGGTGCAGGTGTTCACTCCGCATACGATGAGAGCATCTCTGCAATATATCGACGAGACTTGCACGTGAACCATTTTATAAGAAAATAACTGTTTTGAAGAAAGGAGAATGACGAATGTGCATGGAGATGGAATGATCGGCGGAAGATTCTTACTTGTAGACATTATTATTGAATTTGTTGTAACTGCCTAGGGCTACCAGTGCGCCTAGGCCGAGAGCGTAAGTGAAGAATATCTGTGTCACCGCGTCTATCCACACCTATGCACATAAATGATCGTGCCAGTAACTGTAACATTTATATTCTAGTGCATCTAAAAAACGAGAGAACGACGTCGTGTCGACGGTTTTACCTCGGGATCGCCGAGTTTCGAGAGATTCGGTGTACCGTAATACTTCAAACCTTCCGCAGCGCCGGGAAGCGTCAAGCCTCGCACGAGCAGCACCACCAGCAAGGCGTACGGGAAGAGCGCCGTGAAGTAGACGACCTGTATCGCGTCGTATTAATTTGCACGTCCGAAAGTGATGAACAAGACTTTAGCGTGAACTCGCTTTACCTTGCCGGTCCATTTGACGCCTTTCCAGATGCAAAAGTAGCACATAATCCACACGACCGCGAGCGTGCCGGCCAGTTCCCATCTTATACTGCCAACGTCTTCGATGCCCGAGGAAATCTGCAGGGTGCGCCTCCTTTTTGTAACGAAAGGCGCGGATGGTACTTGTTTTTATCCCACTGTACTTAATTAACTAAGGTATCTACGGGACCAGTGACTTACTCCCAAAATTCTTTGACTGGATCCTTCAGCACTTTGTGACTCAAGTTCCCGCGGGACGTGGCACATATGATGTTGCTGTCGTCCTGCCAGCACGATACGTTCAGACGTTCGTCGGGCGTGATGCAGAAGCGCGTGTTCCACGAGTTGTCGCAGGTTCTCCAGGGTACATCTGCGCGAAAGATCTTATTTTCTTAGATAAATGTAAACATTTCTGCTTCTTTTCTACAAGCTCAAAGACTAAAGAAATAAAACTGCTTTCAGAAACACCGTGCGTCAGTGAGGTATGAAATAGAGTCGCTCACCGGCGCGTAAGGAGACCAGAAAGTAGAAGAGCGCCCAAGCGAGGATGATGATGTAATATATGTTAGTCCAGCAGGAAAGCACGCAGGTCGCGTATCCAATGCCTGTGCGAAGAGCAACATTGTCACCGTCTTATTCCCGGAAGTATTTCAACGATACTAAGATCCCGAGTGCTCTCTAAAATCACCTTTGAAAATCGGTGCTATTTTAAAAACACCCAGACCACCTATCGTCAGCATCTGCCCCAGGGACAGCTCCATCAGGAACATCGGTATACCGGCCAGCGCGAGCGCGATGAAATAGGGCACCATGAAAGCACCGCCGCCATTCTTGTAACAGAGGTACGGAAATCGCCACAGATTCCCCAAACCTATGGCCAGTCCCACGACGGACAGAATGAATTCGACCTTCAAAAGAGAAAAACGTGGAAATTGCGCTTCCAAGTCCAGGTCCCGCGCGCTGAATGTAACAGAATTGGCCCCGAACGTCTCACCTTGCTGCTCCAGTTCCCTCGTTCCGGCAGCCCCTTGGGCCTCTTGATGATGATCGAGGATTGTCGCAGGCATTGTATTGCCTCGAATCGGAAGTCCGACTCTTTCTCGCCATTGGAGGCAGCTCTGTTGGCGGTTGGCTCGGAGAAGAGGGCCTTCAGCTCCTGCACCGGACTCACGGGGCTCGCCGCCGGTTTTCTCGGCAGAGGACTGGTGGATCTGTCTACCTTGGGACGGCCGGTCGATCCCCTTGAAGGCATTATTCGTTGCGGCGACGAAATCGCGGGACGTGATCGAAATTGGAGAACTCACCTCATCCTAACAGGCCGACCTGGCGAGTGGAGAGCCGGCTCGCTAACTGTCGCAACTTGCGCTCTTCTTTCTGATTAAAACGCCGGAACGGCTCGGCCGTTGAATCGACGGTGAAGTGGAAAGTGACAGGGAGGAGCGAAGGGCTGATTGATAATTGTCGTCTGTAATAGCAAGTTTTTCTAACGCGACCTCGTCCTATCTAGTTGCGCCGACCTTAACAAACAGGAAGCCCTTTGAGAGCGGCCGGACGTGTTACGAGAGACTCGAGAGGAGTGGGCAGGGGATGACGATAAGTCTCTAATATAAATAATAGATGAAATGCGTTCTCCCGTGATAATATCCGCGGTCATCGTCGTCGTCGGGCGCGCACGAGCGCGAGGTGCGCGTATAAGGTATGACATATAGTAGACAAGGGTCTTGATGATGACGGACGATGAATAACGAGCCACTTCCGGGAATCATAGCGTTCGCCGAATGCGTTCTCATCGTCACAACCTTGTCCTATTTTATTATTTAACTCATGGTGTCCTGTGCACCGCGCGGTATCGCAATCAAGCCTGACAATTGCATGTCCCGTGCGACAACATTTGGCAAAAAGATCCCGTCTTTCTTATTTTAATCGGAAATCTTAAAATGTCGTACAGAACGATTGCCGTATTAAAAGCTGCGATTTCAAATGAAGCTTCGAGTCGACTAGCAATTAGATTACGGACAACGACGTGACGGATAACTCTACGTTTTGTTTCAGATATTTTTCCCGCGTAACTTGAAAAACGGAAAGGCGCCCATTGCCGAAGGGACGATCGATGTGTTCGCTTTGCACGGAAGTCGCAAGGTGATACATACGCAATTATTACGCTCCAATATGTGCGGATTTCCTGCGCCGTCAATATCCTCGCGCTTGGTCCTTATCTCGGCATCCTGCTAAATGTTCCGCTTCTTCCGGAAGTGCGAGATCACTTCCGAGATCTTCAGTATAGAATGCGGAACTTCTGAAAGGGGGATCGGGTCACCCCCTTTTTTTTTCCAACGCGAGCCGAACGCTTAGCCGAGCGCGACTTTGAGGAAGAGCTCGCACGGATGCAGAGATTTCTGCCGTACCCCGTCGCGATCTACCCCACAATGATGCTCGGTCCCCCTCGAGCATGAACGCACCTATCTTTCCATTCAACAAATTAATGCCACAGTGTCACTCTATATTTAGGTTGCTCGTACGACACGAAGAGATCGGCCGTATATGCGCGAATCGCGCCGACCGAACGCGATACATTTCCCGTTTTTCTTTTTCGTTATCATATAATGCCTTCGGTGCCGTAACGATTCATTATCACATCGAAGGACGATACACCTTGGGAGAAGAAAGATAAATACACGGGAGCTGTAATTAGGATGCCGAAGCAATAAAACGAGATACTGGCCTTTGCGAAACGTTTGGAATGTACGACGATGCTTTTACGAATAGTAAATAAGCGAGTATTTTTTTTCTCGCAGATAATATCGAAACCTGTGTACAAAGTCTTAATGTCACAACTAATTAATCTTCACGACGACAAATTTCTCAGTTTATTTGAATTTTAAAACGACGATATTTTGCAAAATGCACTTCGACAGGTGGTCACATTTAAATGAATTTTTTCACATTTATGATCAGCTAATATATTTTTAAATATCCTTTCGAAGACAGACTTTTACTGAAATATTTCCTTTTGTTGAGAACCTTGAGAACATTTTTATTAAAGTAGATTTGCAAGTTAAAAAATATTGTATTTCTTTATTTATTACTGCGACAGTGGGACAAGGTAGAAAACGTGATACCTTAAAAATGCGATCTTAAAAAACAAAATTAAAATTCAATGTTATTCCGTGATAGTGTCAACGTCATTTTAATTGTCTTAATTACTTTACACTTACATGCCTGTCATGTTTTGTAGTAGAAGCGTGCAAAAGTTTCCATTGTTTTTTAAGCGCTTTTATATGTATTCGCATTCATTAAAAAACACATTTTTAATAAAACTTTCCCGGTATTATTCACCACCTTTTGAAGTGAATAAAATTATTCTTACACTTCCTCAGAATTGCGAAACCGTGTATCGGAGAGATTGTGCTATATCGAATAAGTGATAAGTTCGAAGAGGCGACGTCTGAAGAATATGCTAGGTGTGGCACTTTTTACAGCTTAGTTCAAGTTTTCGCAATAGACTTAAAATTAAAATTATTTATACACTAACATGCTGTCTCGGCTCTTATTCCTTTATTACATCGTACTTGTGTTTTCACAAGAGCTTTATAAATTTTATTAATTGTTTAGTTCAAATTTCTCGTGTCGTAAATACAGCATAGGATCTGACATTGTCATGAAGACCAATCTCTTCTTGTCTTATTACAAAATACAAGCGTTCTTCGAGCAAATTTTCATTTAAATTAACTTGCTCATTAATTTTGCGATCTATAATGACGGTCTGATGTGACGACAGCTTATAGAGAATTCCTTGCGGGTCCCAAAATACAGGAGAATCTCACGATCACGGATTCTTATTTCTTTTTGCCTTGAAAGTAGAGAAATTGCTCAAATCTACGATTTTTGAATAATTGTAAATTCACGCCCTCTGTGGACATTGAAAACGTGGACGTGCACTACGTAGCCAATGTCCACGTTTGGGCTCAGCGGATAACGCAGATGTGCAACCCAAGTAGAACGAGTTAATCACAAAAACGTCAATGTGACATAAAAATGATTAATTTTACGTCATAAAATGATCGACATTAAGATTTCCTTTGCAATGACTGATTTGTGACATGCTGTTTTATTATATTCGTGATGTGTACAATAATATGTATACATATGTTAAACTGTAACAATACAAAAATATATACGATTATTATAGACTAATTATGCAAAATCGAAACTATTGTATTAAACATACTTTATATTTTATATTTAAAAAATAGGTATTTATTAAAACAATTATATAGAATACTGAAAGTCTTCCTTTTAAATATGAACTCACAAAATTTTATACGTATGGTTTTGTCTCTAACACTTATTCGAATGCTCGTTGGAATCATTTGAATAAATAAAATAAAAGCACAGAACAGATGATTCACTTTGCACAAGTAGCAAATAACAAAAATGTAAGTTACTTACCTTACGATTTCTCTTCCGTTGCCCGATGCCTCCTTGGCCTGCTCCTCCTCTCAGATTTTCTTGTTGCACTTACACTCACTCGCGAAAATCGATCGCGCGAAATTTCGGACACTCCCGTACGCGATGTAAAATACCGTGAAATGCAGTAAGCGACGTTCTTTACTTCCTGCCCGTTCGAGTTGCGAAGAACGACAGAGCGAATTACAGCGCGAACGCCGAAGTCGCACAAATATCTCTCTCTTCCCGAAAATGGAACAGATTACACGAAATTATAGATAGTTAAAAGCGCGGTGCGTAAACGAGATGTAACCGCGACAACGTACCACGGTTTACTTTCATATTTTAGATGAGTTAGTCTCGTAAAATATCAATGTACACGTTAATAAAGAGCCGTCGCCTCAACGCGCAATTCGTTTCTCATTACAAGTTGTAGAAACTTAATAATTAATCTAGTAGCGTTACTTGTCACTGATAAATGAGTCCAAATCAATAGCGTTTTATCCTTACATTCTTCACGATCGAGTCTTGGAAAGCGACAACGCAAAAACAATATCACGCACGGAGCGACTCGCGCCACTGCTTGCCGGCTCGACGTTCGGCGAGTGACTGTGCGGCGACCTTGTATAAACAATGGTCCGCGTAGCGTCGTACGATGCCGCGCCGAGTGAAAAACAACAAAAAAACGTTCGTTTTTGTGTTGAGAATTCGTTGGCCCATCTACGTAATGGAAAATTCCGTACTTACATATCACTCGCTCGCCGAACGTCGAGCCAGCAGGCAGCAGCGAGAGTTGTTCCGTGCGTGATATTTTTACGTTACCGGTTTCCAAGACTCGATCACGAAGAATGTAGGGATAAAACGCTATTAATTTGGACACCTTTACCAGTGACAAGTAACGTTACTCGATTAATTATTAAGATTCTAAAACTTGTAATGAGAAACGAATCGCATGTTGAAGCGACGGCTCTTTATCAACGTGTATATGGATATTTTACGAGACTAACTCATCTAAAATTTGAAAGTAAACCGTGGTACTTTGTCGCGGTTACATCTCGTTCACGCACCGCGCTTTCAACTATCTATCGATTTCGTGTACTTAATCTGTTCCATTTTCGGGAAGAGAAATTTGTGCGACTTCGGCGTTCACGGCGTTATTCGCTCTGTCGTTCTTCGCAATTCGAACGGGCAGGAAGTAAAGAACGTCGCTTACTGCATTTCACGGTATTTTACATCGCGTACGGGAGTGTCCGAAATTTCGCGCGATCGATTTTCGCGAGTGAGTGTGTGAGTGTAAGTGCAACAAGAAAATCTGAGAGAAGAAGCAGGCCCAGGCGGCATCGGGCAACGGCAGAGAAATCGTAAGGTAAGTGTCTTACGTGTTTTTGTTATTTGCTACTTGTGCAAAGTGAATCATCTGTTCTGTGCTTTTATTTTATTTATTCAAATGATTCCAACGAGCATTCGAATAAGTGTTAGAGACAAAACCATACGTATAAAATTTGTGAGTTCATATTTAAAAGGAAGACTTTCAGTATTATATATATAATTGTTTTGATAAATACCCATTTTTTAAATATAAAATATGAAGTATATTTAATACAATAGTTTCGATTTTGCATAATTAGTCTATAATAATCGTATACATTTTTGTATTGTTACAGTTTAACATATATAGTTAGCGATGTACAACTTTGCTGTTACGACTCGTATCAGTGAGTGACATATTACTTTTTATTTTAAAGTGACGTTGCGCATATAATTACTTCTCTCTCTCTCTCTCTCTCTCTCTCTCTCTCTTCGCGTGTGTACAAATTCCTAAAAATACACAATGCTTGACCACAAACAGCGCGCGTTCTGTCATGTCTAGTATTTCTAAATTATAAACCTTCACTTACTCTGAACCTAAAAGAGAAGTGAAGCACATGGCGCTTCGAGAAAATCAATCGGCGGAGAAGGGCCTTAACTGTTCGATATTAACGATATTCGCACTGGTAACATCTCTTGTTTAGTAAGGGATAACCGTTTTCAGTGGTAATTCACTGATTGACTTTTAGAGAGTACTATGTAACATTCTTCATAAATGTGTAACAAAAATCGTAGTGTAAATGCACAAACGAAGATCTATCGCATAAAAGATTATTTTAAACCAACTTAAAATTTCATACAACAGAAAAGTTAATCTAAAGGGCCCACCGCCGCCCCCGCCGAATTCTTATCGGCGGTTCTCTTTTGTTTGCGATAAAATTAAGTTTTTACATTTTTATAACTTAATTAATTTTATTCACAACTTATTATATAAATATAGAAAGAGAGATAAAGTTACATAGTGAAAACACGATGTACAATAAAAATATGTACAATTTTTCATTATGACATAAAATTACATATGAACATGTTACATGTGTTTACAATAATACGCACCTAACTCTTACAATGTAAAATATTAATAGAAAATGTTACACAGTACACACAACGTGTTACAATACATATGTGGCTGTGCTTATAATTGTACAACATTTTGTATTAATTCACACATGAAAAATCAAACTGTAAAAGCACATTTATCGATCAATTGCATACGAAACTATCGATTAAAAGACTATGTGAATCAAATTGAACTAAAATTTTAGTTGATAGAAACAAATCGACCTACGTAGAGACCCTCCACCACCCCCGCCGCGTTTAATCGACGGTCCTCTTTTCTTTACAATTTGATTTCTTAATTTTTATTTATTTCATTTTCCTTATAACTTACTTTACGAAGCGCTAAAGTCGACGACGATGCATGCAACTTTAATGTTGGCGCAAAATATTCGCAAGTCCCGAAAATAAAAAAATTTTGTAGTTCTAACGCTGTTTCCTATTCCCCGGTAAGAAATCTATCAATGTCTTGTAAGTTTTAATTCGCTAGCGTCTCATTGGTGACGATGCAGCGCAACTTTAATTTGGCGTGTGAAAATCGCAAATATCGAAACGCTACATTTTCTATTCCCCGACACGAGTTCTATTAGTCTCTCGGTAATTCTTCAGTATAGCTACCCCACCTCAAAAATCAACCAAATTAGTCTCATTCGACGCGTTTTTTTAACGAAAAACAACTCTTTCCTTTGATTGATTTTTGAGGTGGGGTAGCTATACTGAAGAATTACCCTGATTATTACCGAGTGATATCGTAGCACCAGCGTTGTCCGTCTTGTAGTCGGTAAGCCAATCACGTCGGAAAGTTAGATGCCTCGACACACCGCTGTCGATCAGCCAGACCTCTCCTTGGATAGCCGCCATTACGTGACTCTGCGTCCACAGCACACGAGAGTTTTCGGCGCTTTTCAAACCCGACGCGACCGAACTTTTATCCGTCTCCACTACGAATGCGCAGTCGCGAGATTTTTCGCCATCCTCACGCAGTTTCCGTTTGTTTCGACACCGACTCGCGATATGTCCAATCTCTTGACACTTGTAGCACTGCAGTTCCTTCGTTTCCTTTTTATTTGTAGACTTATTCTTCTCGGTGTTTCTCGCTCCTCGCAGGCGTCGATTTTTGGCCGTCGCGGCCAACGCTTCCGAAGCGTCTTCGTCACTGTTGAGCCTCGCGTCTTCTCTGATCAGTCTTTCTTGCAGATTCTTGTCGAGAGTTTGTCGCGCAAGGTCAACGCTGTCCCACGCCACCTGCAGCGTGCTGAACCTCGTGGTCAGACTCGCGAGAATCTTCGCCATAACTGTGGCGTCCGACACGTTTTCACCGACGTCCTTGAGCTGGCTTGCCATGTTCATTACCTCGGCCACGTGCTTTACCGTCGTATCGGCTTCGCTCATCCGACACGCGTAAAACCTTTGTAGCAGACCCAGCTTGTTTGATGCCGTCTTCTGCTCGTGAATCAGGCACAGTTTACTCCACATTTCTCTCGCAGAAATGCACGATAGCACACACACTTGTTGAGCTTCGTCGTGGTTGGACAGGATTATGAACTTCACCGTTGCATCGTCCTTCACGTTTTTCTTCAGCGCAGCCGCGTGTCCCTTTCCTGCGGGTGGCTCTTCCCTCGTGCCGTCCATGATGTCGAGAACGTCGTTCATGACGAATAACGCGTTCACTTGAGCTTTCCTCATGGCCGTATCGGATCGCGTTTAGCGTCCAGGTGCCAAACAACCGGAGGAAGAAGAACTTGAGCTTTCCAGCCCTGGAAATTCGTTCCATCGAAAGGCTTCACACCCTTCACCGAGATTCCGATAGACATTGCGGACTCGATACTCGCACGCTTCCGACACGTGAACACAGGCACTCGCGAACAAAGGCCGGCTTTTGTTCCGCGCCACGTGCGATTCCCCGGATCGCGTTCACACAATTTTACCGCAGTTAACCGTAAGCTGGGCCCATAACCTGTTAGAGCAGGATTGTGTGAACAGGTCGAGGAATAATCAGTTTCGTTTACTTGAAACTTGATCAATTAATTTTGCTGAGAATATAAGACGATGTGCCGTGCGTCCCTAACCAATGGACATGTGCCTTAGTACTGGACGCCCGGCATGGTCCGCCAATCGCCACACGGTGTCGCGTCGGGGCACGAAAGCTGCCGAAGTTGCCCGAGTCGCGCTCGACTCGTTAAAGGCCTTCACACATAAAATTCCGTAAGAACGTAAAACGTAAGCGTAAGAAAATCAACAGGTTGGATTTGCTACTGCTTGCGTCATTGCCTTACGTTCTCGACTGTGATTGGTCGATTTTCTTATGCTTACGTTTTACGTCCTTACGGAATTTTATGTGTGAAGGCCTTTACACTGTGATCTAACCTAACCTAACCCGACCTAACCTAACTTATTGTTAACTCGCGGAGCTTGATCTCGCGGCCATTGCACTGCATTGCATTCCCGACGGTAGTTTTGACAGTAGAATCGCGAGTTTCGCGTGCACTTTCGGGATCATGAACGTAGAAAACGAGAAGGACCCACTGGAGCCGTCGCGGTGTTTCATCTGCAACGACGAGATCCGAAACCGCTTCTACTGCCTGGCCACATGCAGAACGCAAAACTCGGGGACCAGGGTAATCAAGAAGCTCGGGGAATTGGTTGGCGAGAGGTGACAAATCTGGATTAATTAACGGTGGCCGATGAAAACAAAAAGAACATAAAATAAAATCGATCTTTCTAAAATCGATCAGGTACATGATCGTGATATCCGAGGACGACGTCATCTGTCGCTCGTGCGCTAATCTTATCAACGCCCTGGACCGGCTGGAGACGGAAATGCACAAGACGCGGGATCACATTCTGCTCTTCCTGGAGCAGAAGTACTCGCTGGAGAACGGGGAGCTTCGCGGCGACGCGCCGAAGCCGAGTCAACCGCCACAGATCACGAGGTCCAAAACGAAAAGCGCCTACGTAAACAGTAACCAGCAGAACGAGAGCGATCCAGGCCCGGATGACTCGCTGGCGAAGAGCTCGTACGACTGGCTGCAGTGCGACCGGTGCAAGTACACCACGTGTTCCAAGTCCTTCATGGTGCACCACATGAGAGATCACATCAAGCAGAGGTCAATCTGCGAAGACTGCGGTCAGTACGTCACCGAGAACCAGGGGGACCAGAGACACTGTTGTAGGGCGGATGACTTGGGGAACAAGGAGAACGAGGCAGGTTGGTTATCGCCGAGCCGAAAAGAATCACGTGTCGTTTGCGAATATCATTGCTCCCTGAGTATCTCAGGTTTATCGTGACGTTGGCGTATTGCAGGCAATTCCGGTGCCACTGTCAAGAGTGAGGCGGGGGTAGGGACGGCACTTTCGAACAAGCAAGTTCGACTGATCTTGCCCGTTACGCAAACGACCCCGCCGCCACTGATTGGTATATCGAATTATTCCGATCACCTGTATCTCCCGTTATTACTGGGTAGGTATTTACCTTTGACGAGGCTTAATACGTTGCCGCGAATGTATCTTAAGAAGAAAAAAATTTCTGTTACGAAAGGTGACTCCGCATCTTCTTCCCAGCAATTAACGTTGTCGTCTCAGCAATTGATATACGCTCCGCAGCCGATCAATACGGTTGACAATATCGTTGACAATTCGAGGAAAAGTACGAGATTACCCACAAATCCTGCGCAGGAAACGACAGCGGAAAACGGAAATAGAAGGCACGTGTTGACTGTGAAGGAGGATGGAAGTTTGCAAATGGTCGAGATAATGCCCGAGACGGGGACAAGAACGCCAAATATCAAAGACAGCGTTCAAATAGCTATTAGTTAGAGAGCAGTTAGCGTCATTTCAGCATTTTTATATCCCATTGCTCTTGAACCTTGCGTCCACAGTACCAGAGGTCGGTCCGAGATCCGATAAGTGATATAGCCAAGCAGCTTTTCTGTAACGAATACAAATTGGCCACATAATTCTCGGATCGAGATCTTGGACGAATTTTTAACATCGTGGACGCAAGGCTTTACAGAGTGTACCTGTTAACAAATCCAGAATGGATTGCAATACATTAAAACTTATCTTAACTCTAATGTGATACGTGAAGCAACGTCATGCGAGTATTTTCTGCACTCGCACATCACCGCGGATGCCAATTGCATTAATCAAAGATAAATGAACTCGATCGCAGAAATCATACCTATTTTTTTCAACGAGTGATAGAAATGCATTAATGTATTGTAAAAGCGCGAACCGCACTGCCCGCATATCTATCAAATTATCATAAAGATTGGTATTTAAATTATCAAAGAAAATATAATGACTACTATATGACACGTGCGGTTTAGGATTTGCCCTTTGAAAAATCGTTATTAAAAGAGCAAGAATCGATTTTAGCAAAAAATAATATTTCTATAAAATTCAGTTGCTCCTGTATTATCTTTTTTACGATATTAATTGACAATCTCGATTAGTCGCGTGTTATTTTATGAGTGGCAGTCATCGTATGTATTTTGAGCGAAATAAATTCGAATAACGCCATGTTTTGTTGGGCGAGTTGTCCAATCGAATTGTACTTTCTGCGTGAATGCATGTTTATGTCTAGAACAGGATACAATTTTAATTATTGGTAATTAAACGTAGAATACGACGACGGAAGAACGTTTTCGTGCGTTACGTGTTAATACATAATCAATTGTTTGTTCCTTCATGTTTTGTAATAAGGATTTTGCGACGACCCTCAAGATAACGTCTAAATACAAGAAAACATCCGCTTAGACTCGGAAAGTAGTCGTGCAACATGTGGAAGATCCAGGAAAAAGAAAACTGATTTCGCAAGCAATTAACTCGATTAAAATCTTAATCTCTAGGATCTAGAATCTGCAAAGTGAATTCGTGGCTCTGTAAAAGGCAAATATATCGATTTCGTTGAGTGTGTGAATTGCATTTTTTGTTATCTCAAAGACTTGGAGCCACGATGAATCAGTTAGGTTTCGATTGTCGCTTATCGCGCTATGGCTCAATTTTCAAAGCTGGGCTTCTTTTCCTGTTGTTATTACATGAATTATTAGTGCGTATACTGTAGATTTTTTAAGATGCTGTACACGGAACATCTCATTGGCTACAGAAAATCTAAAGATGATCTTAAGAAAGTCTTGAATATAAGATCTGACTATGAAACGTTCCGTACAGCATCTTTAAATAAATTCAAGACGGTCTTGAATATAAGACCCGATGAATACCAGCCCTAGTGTAACCAAACAGTCGCCAAAAATCGCCCAATCTTAATTTCCGTGAATACATTATTCCGGGGGGGGGAAGACGAGTCGATTCGAACGTTCGCGCGCCTCCCGCTTTACCGACTTGGCACTCCCTAGCGATGTTCGCGGCGCGACGTTGGCATCACTGCTATTCAAAATATTTTGAACGCGTCCTGCAACAGTTGTTATGAAGATGGAGGCGTAGCAGCGGATGACAACAAGGTGGATTTAAACAGTTATTTGCTCAAGCTCGTACGCGAGCACGATGAAGTTCGAGGAACTCAAGTGCAATCTGCTGGACGTCTTCGACAACAATAACTACACCGTTGTGGATAAATGGCAGTCGTCATGTCGGGAATTTCGGCAGTTGGTGGACATCAAGCTCGAGCAGAAGTTCCTTTACGAGAAAGGTACGGGATTCCACGTGCGCCTACAGGCAGGCGCACGTCGGTGAAAAGTCGAGTTTACGTCGCGAGAAATTGCCTGTGAAAAAATTACTTACTTGCGAAAGCGTGAGAGCGACATTCTGTCTTTGCTTCGCAGACTGCAGCAAGAAGAAGTCCGTCAACACCGCGAAAATATCAGAGCTGCAACAGGAGATCGGCGCAGTCAAGTCCGAGGTAGACGCCGTGATACTCCAGCAGAAGGTCGCCAACAAGAAGGTATCGAACGCGATAAGGTCGCAGGAGAGTCTCAAGGACAAGCTGGAAGAGACGAAGGTGCAAATAGAAACGTTGTCGTTGGAAATTGTGGACCTGGACCTCGGTAAACGCACTTGCAAACCTTACTCTGTAGCGAAAGAAAGACTTGGTATACGACTTAAACTGCTGGGTGGTTTATTTAAATTGTTCTCCGACGGTTTGACCATTGTGCTCCTTTTCAAGGAAATAGATACATTAGTTAGTCAAAATTGTAGTGTTAAAAACGTTGACCATCTCTGGGCATCGGTCGGAGAAACTATGTTGGAAGGCACGTTCGTCCGATGCACCGGCTACAGTGGAATCTAGTCGGAACAATATAAATAAACCACCTGCCAGTTTAAGTCTTATAGTAATTCTTTCTTCCGTTAAGTAACTACTGGCGACAACAATATTCCATCTTGTCGCATACTCTATAACTCCCAAGTCTGATCTACAATGTGCTCTGTACATTCAGAGATATTCTATTTTATTGTAGAGAAAAGTCCTCCATTATGAAATAGCAGTGTTTCTGCTCAATTAATAGACGTCGCTTATTGGTTTTATCATGCAATTTATTGCTCATGGAGCGAAATCTGTTTAATGGTAAATTCATTGTTGGATCGTGCAATTGTGGCGAAAGATTTGCAGTTGAATTTGGATGTTGAAAACCTGCCGTCGTACTAGAAGCTCATCTCATGATAAGGGACTCTCCCTCTGTTATATTACATCAAAATTAAAAACATTTGTCGACAATGTACGATTTATCAATTTGCACGAATTTCTTAAGTATATTTATTGGCTAAATAGAATGTGTTGTAGATCAGGCTTTAACAATGTCATTATATTGTCGTTGCGCGGGTGTAATGTATGGTAAAAAAGCCGCACGTTGACAATACAACGATAACGACACCGTCGTTGAGAGTTGCATAATAGGCCTACTGATTCACTTGGATCGGAGTCTTGAAGTTCGTTGTTTTGCCCTCGGTCAAATTTGCTCTCACTCCATTTCAATGTTTTCAGAGATACAAGAAAGAAAGAAGAAGAAACTTTCACAATGGGATGCCATTAAGCGTGCAATTAACGTCTACAAAGTAAATTTGGATATACATATGATTCTTGAAGAGAAGGAGGATTGCCAGTACATGAAGATCTCCTTCTTCACCAGAAGCAACAAAATTACAAAGGACGAGTACTTTGTCCAATTATCATGCAGCGATAATAAGTGGAGAGGTACGTAACATTCCTGTAATAAATCTGGAATAAGGAACGTAATCAATCGACGCCACTTACTTTAATCGTTTCAGTCGAGCAAATTGAACCGAGGCTGAAGAAGGAGCATCTCGATGAGCTGAGCAGTATAAAAGATTATCCCGAATATTCCAAAGTGTCGGACATCACCCTGTTCCTGTGCCAAGTACGTAGTATATTTCTAAAACATTACATGAAAACGAGAGAGAAATTGTAAAACGGCCGATGCCTGTCGTTAATTATAACAGCTTGTAGAATAGTATATTTTGTAAGAAATGACAAGTTCGTGTTCTGACCCTCTCTTGCGAGGGCGACTTTTATTAATAAAAGTTAAGATACCTAAAATAAATTGTTATATGTATAAGATATGTAACATACCACCACGCGTCGCTGTCTAAACGTCGGCACGGTTTTATTATATACGTGCGTGTATCGTCGTCACGCACAACGGGATATAATGTTTCTTTTTAGTTCTCCTCCAATTTTCATTTTGTCGCAAGAGTCATAAGAGAGCAAATTGCAAATCACAGTGCGGATAAATAATAACTTAGTCGCTACAATTATATAAACAGGTCTCTGCTTTGTCTTTTTATAAGTATATATATGTACATATACTTATACATATGTATATGTATAAACGGTACCTATGTATGTGTCTGTCTGCGTGTTAACGTTGCGTCGTCCTCGCGGCATCGTGAGAAGTTCACTTATAAGTAAAATCAGTACGTTTGGGCCTTACTTTAATGCACCGCGCACCTGTTAATCATCTCCGGCGGTATTTCATATACGCGCATACTTGCATACTCGTTAGATAGGCGTAACAGTTAATCGTTGTAATACTTAATCATTTATTTCACGATTCTCGCGATGCCTCTCGACGACGCAAAGTTATTTCTCATTAAAATACTTAATAGAGATAAATTATTTTGATTCTGAGTTCTAGCTAAAAATTAAGCTAGCAGTCGTGCTATTGGCTGCCTTCTGCGATGTGTATATATATTTATATATGGGTGAGTGTGTCAAAAAAAGATCGAGTGATTCTAATCACGCCCGTCTAAGATTTACGATTAATAGATCTACCGACCTCGAGTCAAAGTAACGCCATTTGCACGGCACTTCTTTTTACGGATCTTGCAAATTTTCATACTTATGCTACATTTAGCGCGCGGGATAACCGAAAACTTCGATTTACAACTAACTGCGTTTAACGTTACGATATTCAGGTTCAGAGGAGGACGCCTCTGTGAATTTTTCCGCAGACGGACGTCCGCGTGATATTTATCGTAATATTATTTACGCGCGCGTAGAGAACAACCGAGCACCGTACGCGGATGACGAACGGGCTGATCCCATTATGTATGCGTGGAGGCACGCTGATAACAATTCGTCCCTATTGGCACGAGTTAACGAAGGAGTCAATTGATCGCCCACTGCCAATCTGCCCGTGCCAACGGCATAAAGTTAACAGATTTCATTTGCTCCATTGACCCGTCGGGGATTCGTTTGCATATACATGACCATCGAGAGACTTGATTGAAGACCGAAGTCTTCCGCGAATTATCACGTTGTGGAACGTTGGCTGTTTTCCCTCGTTCGTATCGTCGCTCTGCGATACGTCGGAAGCTTATCAGAAGGCGATGATTAACGTATTTCCGCTGTGGTCTCGGGACGCTTGGATGCTCTCCGCGCGTATTTCCAAAATACAACGACGTTCAATGTACAGCTTTTATTGCTCGGTGCTGAACACGCGAGTGAATCCGCCGAGAATATCGTACGTTTCAAGTTCCAGAAGAAAACGAATAGACATGACTCGCCGATCGATGCGGTATCGATGCAATTTCGCCGATACGTTATCGGCCGCTATTTTGCGCTCAACTTGACAGAAAGAAAAATGCAAGACGGCTTATTACTACGTAAACAAGACTTTTTCGCTGATGGAGACTATTTACAATGCAGGGGGCACATAAGGACCTCGGTCTGTTGCGGAAAAGCGAAGTGTTTATTCGAATGCGGCGCAATTCCGCGCCGCTCTTATCGACGACGTACACCCGGATACTCAATCTCGAATTTCCTCGAATTGGGACTCCGTTATCGGACGAACGCGGTCCCCGTACAGTCCGGAGTAAAATGAATATCCAACGGGATATTTTCGGACGCGTCCGAAATTTGCGCGCAAGATTCTCCCAAGTGTACATTCAAAGGCGTCCGCAGGACATTTGCCTCCCCTTCCCTGGAATCAGCTAAATATTAAACGCTTCTCTTTGATTCGCTCTTTCTTTGACAAAAAGAGCTTTGTATAACGAAAGGTATAATTTGAACTTATAATTATTGTAATTTTGGAGGTCTGTGAATCATGCCCCCCTGTCTGGAAGAAATCCTGTGGACGCCTTTGTCTGCATTATCGAGAATGTCGCGGGTCCATCTCTCAGGACTTGCTACACGGAGTGGAATTTTTTCTTAAAATTTATCCTGAAAATCATGTAATCGTGGGACAACACGGCATTGTGAGGAATTTAACGAGAGTTTCTTGAAATTTTACCATACATTTTACTAATACCCTAGCAGCACAGTGCATTGGCTAAACGTTGGTCCAATGCATCCAAATATTGGACCAATGTTTAACCAATGTTTGGTCAATGCACTGTGCTACCAGGGTAATTATACTCGTACTAAGTAAGTATACATTTTACTGGTAGAATGTATGGTAAAATTTCAAAAAAACTCGTAAAATTCTTCAAAGTGCCACATATCTCACGATTATATGATTCTCAGGGTAAATTTGAAGAGAAAATCCCGCCTACGACCAAAGAATTTGCTTTCTTACGCCGATCACAAAAGTCGCCTCCTGCGGTACGTGTCAGGGGCAGACGCATAAACAACACCCCTCCTCCCCCGAAGTCACTGGGAACGAAATTTTCCGAGAGCGCTCGGAACGATCGAGCCCGTTTTACATTACATTTACGCACGATGTACATATATACGCGATGCGCACTACCAAAACGGGTGTCCACAGAGGTGGCATGTCTCATCGTTTCTGACAATCGCCCCGCTCGTACTTTGACGGTCCGGTCTTCGCGCCTTTCTCGCCGTCCTGTCCAAACTGAGGACGACGAATACCCGCGCGGATTTCGTCGGGCCTGCCTTTTCCTTCCTTCCTCCCTTCGTCGGATCTTCACCCTGCTTGATGTGGTGCTCGCGCGATTATTCTCGTAGGGCCAGCACGCACCGCGGCGATGCCGGGGCCCTTACTCGAGGGTGGCGGCGAAGGACACGTTGCCGCCCGACGCGGCCGCCGCGGCCAGGAGCGTCGGCGGAAGCGGTGCCGGCGGTAGCTTCGACGTCGTCGTCGTCGTCGTCGTCGTCGTGGTCGGGCAATTGCTGCCGACCCCGTAAACCTTGGCGTGATTTACCTCGAGCGCGACGGTCAAGTCGGCCAGGCCGGCGTCGCACAGCACGGGATTATCTGCGAACAACAGAGCACGCGTGTGTGTATGCGTGAGAGGGTAAGGGCTTGCCGCGTGACACGCGATCAAGTGGAGCAACAATAAGATACGAGAAACGGGAGATACATGTGGCGAGCGCGTCACCGGCGACGCTTGACTTTTCGTTCCCGGTATCTCGCGCTCTCGTATATAATTTTGCTTGCGTCTCAGCCCTAAATTCGTGAGCCGCCTTATTTTGATCGTAAATTATCGTAAAGACAAAATTATCGTAAAAACCACGCGTGATTAATGTGGAGCCGGCTACGATAACGAAGATTCGCCTAGCCGTAAAGTTGACCGGCCGTCCGTCGCGTTCGCGGCGCGAGGCCCGGCGGCTTTTCCCAAATTTCCCGCCGCGATTTTCGTCGCGAGTCCCGCGGGTCCCCTGGCGCGAAACCGCGCGAGCGCGATGAGGAGAAAGAGAGTGTCAGACTGGAAGCCTGAGACCAGCCGGGAGATAACGGGATTGGGCACGATAGTGCGGCTGCAGAGAAAGAGAGAGAAAGAGAGAAAGACGATATATTAACAATAACAAAGCTCAATGGGCAGACGCCAGGGTATATAATAAATAATGAGATGGCGCCACGGCGAGGGTTATCGCGAGAAATGTAACCGTTGTAACAAATAACGCCTCGGGAGCCGAACGGAGCCAAGGCGATTATCAGCGAGTAATTTATTTTCCTCCCCCCCTGCCCCCCGCCGCTCTCTTCACCAGTCCCTTCTCTCGCTCTTCCTCCCCTCGCTCGCCTTCCCTCCGTCTGTTTGTCCACGCCGGACCTTACGAACGGTATTTATTAATTATGCGATGCCGCTGGCGCCACGCATCGCTCGGTTCTCTTCGATTAACGGCCTAATTGAATTTAATCGTTCGTCAATGATTGCCAAATAATGCCGGGCTGCCCCAGGCCTGTCGAAAGAGAAGAGTGTTAGCGGGGAGGGGAAAAAGGCAACCGGCGGCACCAAATTGTTCGAGTTTCGTGGAGTGCAACTTATCAACGTCTTCAGATATTTATCGCAGCGCACGCACTTGAGCATGTATCGCCAAAAATTGGGAGGTACACGTTAAAGCGAAAACCATACGTAATTACGTGAGACGTAAAAGTCCACCGAGTAGATAGGAGTTTTATTTTGAGGAGATACTTTATCTACGCGATCACGAGTGTGGCTCGTGCAACACAGGAAGGGTATAACAAATGCCTATCTGGTGTGGAAACTGACATCGAGGCCCGGTTTTTCATTTTCTGATTAACCAGAAGTTAGTCGGCTCTCCAGCCTTTTCTATTGTATATTATTATCTAAGAAGAGACAAGGAGTCGACCAGTCTCTGGTTAACAATTGACCAGAAAATGAAAAACCGGGCTTTAGAGGTACATTTACATCTCCTATCAGCGTGTAACTCGAATCTCTATTCCACTTGGAAATTTGTGAATTTGGCAGTGCAAGCTTAAGAGCGTAGCGTGAAATATCTGTATTTCATTAAACGGAATATTCGCTCGCGAGACGTCAGAATCCGTTGCAAACAATCGTCTCGTCGGGCCCGAGATTCTTCCACGGGAATCAGAGTCTCATTTACGGCTAACTCGATTATCGTTCGTCTGCGACGAATCTCTCGTGTACCAGCCGGATAATAGACGACACGCTGCACGTATCTACCTTTTCTCTCACCTATGCGATTATATTGTTATACCAAAATTCGCCAACATCTCGCCGCTCTGTCGACCTCAGTCAAGGCTTATTTTATCGAATGACAGCATAGATTTAAAAAAAAAATCGCTTTCCCGCGCTATCCGTTCTCCAAATCGATACCAGACTCTGACAAATGGCACGAATTCTAATATTTGCCGCTATTATATAATGCCATTATAAACAATCTGTTATGCGCGCGAATAAGAATATGCGCGGTGGCGTTAAATGTGGCACTAAAAGGCCGCATAAAGGGACGCCTTGAAAGAGAGAGAATGTGTGCGTGTGTCTAATATAGACTCACCTTGAAGGTATATACGTAGCACGTCGGGGACTCCGTGAATCGTGCATCGTGTATTGGCCACCAGCTCCGGCATGAGGGTACGTATTTGATTCGCACTGACGTCGGCCCAGCAGAGCGCCGTGAAACCGCGAAAATCTCGGCCGGACAGCGTGACCAGGCGGTTGTGCGACGCGTTCAGTTCCTCCAGCGACGATAGCGTCTATAAACCAGGATCGTGCGATCGATTGTGCCGCGGAACGTACGTAAGAAGAAGCGAGAGGCTCTTATGCATTTACCTCCGACGTGTCCTCGAGAGTGGTGAGCTGATTGTGCGAGATGTCGAGCACGCGGAGGCCGTCGAGCCCGCGCAGGTCGCGCGGCCCGATCGTGGGGCCCAGCGCGTTGTGGCTAAGATTGAGCCTCTGCAGCTCCTTCATGCCCAGGAACAGGGAGCCGTCCAGGCTACGCAGCTCGTTATGCTGAAGACACAGGTCCTGGATGGTGCCGCCCGCGCTCTCCTCGCCCTCCTCCTCCACCAAATTCTGCGGGCATTATCGTACGGAGTAACAGATACACCGACCGGTCGTCAGTTCAAAGACAACGTAAACAACTTGGACGATGACGTTCGCGTCGAGACGCAAAGTATCGGATGACGTAGATACCCACCTCGGAGGACGGCCTTCCTCTGTGCAGTCTGGCGATCCGGTTGTTGGACAGATCGAGCATTTTCAGCTCGCGCAGGCCTCGCAGGGACGCCAGGGAGAACTCACGGAGCTCGTTGTGCGTCAAGTTCAGGCACTTCAATGATCTGAGGGGATAAAGGGCGCTACTCCCGTTTACGTCGTTGTCCACGCCGCCGAGGGACTTGAGGGAGTTGTGTCCGAGCTCGAGGTCCTCCAGCAGCTCCGCCTCTAGGAAATCGTTCGCGTTCAGCTAGAAGGGGCACAATTTCAGGTGTCCGTTGAATTTCTGTCCATGGCGTGACGTCGCGCGGTCTAATTAACGCGCCGCCGCGAGTCGCGCGATTCAAACGGGAGGGCCGCGACGCGAGATACGTCCGTCCGTCGCGTTCGAACGCTGGCCCGAGATCCTTCCGCCAGGCGGAAGGCGGCAATAATTACGTTACGTCGCGGTAATTGGTTCAATGTGTGGCGCGCTTCTGTGCCCCGTCGTGTCGCGCGCGTTAAAGCGTAATATTCGAGAGCATGTACGTTCAGAGTGCACTCGCCTGCTTCGCAGTTCCGCAAATTCTCTCCCCCCCCCCCCCCGACTTTCCCTGTCTCACCATGTCTCTCCCTGCCTTTGCCTCTTTTTCTCTCTCTTTTAGACCCTTCGAAATTTCTCTCTCTTTCTCTCCGTCGAAGACACACACGTTTTATTCAGCTTAAAAGAGTGCGAACCTCCTGTGTTCAGTCACAGAATATTACAAAATGACAAAAAAATATCTTCATTCTAAAAAATATTACTTTACTCAAGAAAATTATTCATTAGGTGGCTCCTAATAGCTTATTAACTTAAATTTAAAATATAATAGACAAATTGAAACATGCATTGCTTTAATTTAACTTATTGAATATCGAAGAACAGATAATTTTTAATTAAATATACATTGTGCATTCATAGAAAATTTTATTTTAACTATAAAATTTTTACTAAGATGTAATTTTCACGGCGAAGAAAATTGGATTTTTTATTTAACAAACCAGTTATTTTATTTAACAAATAGTATTCTATATCTCATGAAATCTTTATTTGAATGTAGAAAATGTAACGATTTAAATTAATTTACTTAATATGATACATGGATTTACTTAAAATTCAGTATAAAAAGAATTTTTTAAGTAAATCTATTTACTTAGTTAAAAAAACTTTTTTGCCAGTGTAGCTACAGTTCCTTCTAAGTTATATTCTGAATTATTCTCTCTAAGCTGTATTTACAAAATCGTCTCTAAATATTCTTTAGTTCACGCGTGCAAATACCGCTGTCTATTTTCATCGGGGGGAGAATTTGCCCTCGACGGGCATACTCTCCGCCCGTAGTCAAATTTGTTGGTCAAAATGCGTAAATACCCGCTTGTTGGTCTCCACTACCGGCTGGGGCTCCCCTTTTTTTCCCCCTGAAGACGTTCCGCGAAACGAACGCGATCTTCTCGGGGAGCAACGGAGCCTCTCGAGCGACAGGTGCGAGCAGACCTCTGTTTTTCGTGCGTTATTGTGTGGCGATTACGTCGGCGAATCGCGTTCAAATAAAGTACATTTTCGCTTTCCGGTTGCCGGCGATGGACGGTTCTGCGATTCAGAGGACGTGAAAGTTCGTTCCCGCGTCTCGCGAACGAGTCCGAACGTTTTGCGCTACGAAACCTGGGAGGATATTCCGCGTGACGTGGACGTAGCGGGCTGTTATACCTCTTGCAATTCGTTGTACGAGAGCTCCAGGAACTTGAGGCGTCTGGCTTTCTGCAGAGTGCCGTCGAGATTTCGGATCTTGTTCTGCTGGAGGAAGAGGGTCTCCAGACGGTGGAGGTATCGGAACTCGGTCGGCAGATGCGTCAGCTTGTTATCCACGGCGTAAAGCATCTTGAGATTGTGGCCGGATGACGGTAGCTCGCCGTCGAGTGACGTGAGCTCATTAGAATTAATGAGCAGCCACTCGAGTTGATTCAAATCTCTGCGGGGCAAACAAGTGGGGCACGTGGCTAAAATCGCGCTGGTCAAATCCTGGCTGAATCCTGTTCTACGTGCTCGCCACCGTACGGCGGCGGACACGTAGAATCGCAGATCCTCGACGATTTTAAAGGTCGATATGCCGACCAATAGTCCACACTGGTAAATCTCTTTAGTCAGCGATTCGCGTCGAGTCTGGTGGCTCGGTTATAAACAGAATGAATTAGATAAGAGACGTGGTGTCTAAACGATAAGTAAACAGGATGAGCGAGATGCTGCGGTAGCTTTCCAGCGTAAATGCGAGTCTCGAAGATAATTAAAATGGAAACTATGGCTTCGGCGTCGAGGCGACGTTGGAGCTTGCGGTCTGCCGTGGCGTTAAAACTTCTCGACCGTCCAAATTCCGCGGGCCCGACTCGCGGGCAAATTTCGAAGAGACAAAGGCGCGAGTCGACGGTACCTTAGAGTGTGGTTCAGGCTCTTGAGACGATTTCTGCCGACATGCAAATGCTTCACCAGAGGCGGCAGCGAGCCCGGGGTCATCTCGGAGATCGCGTTTCCGGCCATGGCCAAGTGCTGAAGCGTCGGATTGTACTGAAATAATAAAAAGGGGAAGAGCACACATTAAATCGCTCGACGTTGTCCGATGATCTTGACATCTCTTATCTCCTTTCTATTGACTATTCAATTTTACGAATTCTTTTCTCGTTTTTATTTAATGGTCTCCTTTAAATATCAGCGCTTCTCTTAGAACTTGACTCCCATCTGGTCGATCGCAATAACACTCGAAATGCTTGCGCGTCACAAAACGCGAGATCTTCCTGGCGATTTGCGCATAAAGAAAGAAAAAAAGGAGGAAAGAGCGCGCGGCTGATGACTGGGCGCGAACGTCACACGATGTATCGCTACTCTTCTCTCCCTCGTGGTACACGCGGGACTCCAACGCTCGTTTCTACCAATGCGGATTAACTGTAATCTCGATTTAAATCACATTTTATCTTGTTCCAACTTTTAAAGCTGGAAAGAGATATCAAGCTAGTTAAACCGAGATTAAAGTAAGTCTGCATTGGTACAGAAAACGGGCACGGAGCGATCTACAATCCCCGAGAGTGCCTTACCTTGAAGTCGTCCAAATCGATGCGGCTTATCCGATTCCTGCTGAGGTCCAGAGTTCGCAGCAGCGACAGATGCGACAGGATGTGCCTCGGTACCGACGGCACCTCGTTGTCCGCGAGACTCAAGTACTGCGTGCGGCCCAGACCGGCGAAAACGTCGCCGTCCACGATCCTGCAAATCGCGACATCAACGCTTGCTCACGGGTCCTTGACTCGAGGGAAACGCGACAGACGCCGGTGATCGCGCGAGAGCGGCGTTTTCTAGGGAACCTGCGCTTCTATTCATCAATTTTCTTTTCCCCCCCATTGCCATCGGCGAGGGCGGTAGAATTTCGTATTTCTCGTCTATTACAACGCTGTTGACCGGAGCGACGAGCCAACGAGGGCCCTGAAAAAGTGGCGACGCGCCGGGCGTTATCGTTCGATTATACACTTAGCGTTGGCTCACTGCGACTCGTTATTTAATTATTCCACGACGGTAAACATACGCAGCTTCGCGCGATAACACGCGCGAAGAGGTCAGGCACGATTAAGATTTCATTCTTACGCCCCGTCCCGCGGTCTCGCGAGGATACTCGGCGCTCCTAAAGAGACGCGCGGTCCTCGGGGACCGGTGTCGTCCCTTCCTCGCAGGCCCCAAGGGCAGGCAGGACGACCAAGGAAGACCGGTGGCCCGTCCTTTGCGCCGCTCGTAAAAATAAAGACCGCCACACGTTGCGCCGAGAGAAGCGGAAAGAATACCGGGTGAGCGTGGGGTAAACCGCCTGAGGTCGTGGTATACAGATTTCGGGCATTACCAGGACATTAGTGGGTGTTGTTTGACCTCGCCGGGGCGTTATAAAGAATCTAAAAAGGCGAAACGAGATAAAATGAGACAATAAGACGAAGTAATGCCCGCTGGGCATTAGTAGGCGTTGGTGCACGCGATTTTCGCCAGCGGTTTACCCCTCGGGGCGAAGCGTACGGGCTGGAAAAGCCGCGATCGCGCGCCTCGGCCGAGAGGCCTACCGCACCGAATTCGTCGCGATGCCGGCGCATATTGAGACGATTTATCGCCTTTCTTCACCAATCTCCGTGATAAAACCATTATGTAACGATATCCGTCGGGATACTCCGCTTCCGCCGTGCACCGGCCGTCGCGTCACGTCCGTTTCGTTACCATTGTTATCGCTTTATCTAACGGTACCGCGCGGAGAAAGCTCGTGGCGAGTGCGTGCGAGAAAGGGCGGAGCGCAAACGAATTTTCATTACGAGGCGTCCGGGGCCCGGCGCGCGATCAAGCGGGACGATTAGCCGTGAGATTTCCGTGGTGTCCCGGCTCTCCCGACGTGTCGCAGCGTCGCCTCCGAGCGTGTGCGCGACGGCGCCGCGAACGCCTTCGCAAATACTCGTTGTGGGAATTAAGATCGCTTCTTTGTTATACATATATAAATGCCTCCATTCAATGTCCGCAATAGCAGACGATGACCTTTTGCAAAGATACTGGCCGTATCGACGTGTGTGGCACACTTCAGACAGAGACTATGCGACGGAGTACGCGAGTATGCACGGATGACACCCGCGGCTCTCGTCGCCGCCGTCGCGCGATTTGCCGTCAGCGTTTTATCCTTTTCAACCCCGATCGTCCCTCGCGTTCGAGTCGAGCTCCGGCCGGCGTTGGAATCGCGCCTAATCTTGAGCGGATTCGAAAGAAATGATCTGACGTACAGCGAGGGAACGCTGATGAGGGGAGAGTTGCTTAGTTAGTGTTTACCGCGTTTGATGATCTCCGAAACCGCCGTTATCTCCGCGACTGTATACGCAGCTGAGTTGTAGTAACCGTGACTGATAAATCGTGTCATTATCGCGTCCCCGTGATTCTTTACGTCTTCGCCGAAGACTTCGGCACTTCGGGCGTAATCTTACCGTTCAAGATCATCGTTCACGCAACATCGCCGGCGCGTTGAGTAACTTTTCGATGGCAACGGAGTTCATCGGCGGATCACGCCGTCAATTAGCCCGTCGCACTTACCCGAGATGATCGTGATTGAGCTCGAGCCGGGTGATGGACATACGCAGCCCCTTGAAGTCGTGGCGCGATATGTCGCGCAGATTCGAGTGCGCCACCCGCAGGGTGATCTGCTGCTCGGGGGTGAACTTGCCGCTCAATGCCTCGGCAAGTTGATCGAACGACTTCATTTTCTCGCACAGCACCTCGATACGCTCCCCCAGGTGGTGGCCACCGCCCCCGCCGCCGCCGCCGCCGCCGCCGGCATTGTTGTTCGCGTTGGCGACCCCGCCGGTGGACGCGGCCACCGTCGCCGCCACCGTGGCCTGGTTGATAACGGGACTCGGGAACTCCTCCTGTCGGCAGGTGCACGGGCTGATCTCGCGGCGTACGGCGCAGTGGAGGCTCGTGCTGGCCGCGAGGCCCAGCAGCGTGTAAAGAATGCCGGACATGCTGTCACTTGACTCGCGGTAGCGCCGACTGCCTTGAAGACTGTGATCACGGGCGACTGGTCAGGGCGAGTGCCGGTACGCGGACGAAAGCGGCGACGTTTCGCGACGAGCGAAACCACCCTCTACGCGGCTGGGCACAGTCGACTCCCGAGAATGTCCACCCTCGCCTCCGTCACTCGACACACTGTGCACACGAATGTTACAGGTCTCGTCACGACCCGTGAGGTCGTCCGCGTTTTTCACCCTACGACTGTTTCTCGTGAATAAAACCACGAACGTCGAGACGACGTTTCATAGCGCGCTAAACAAATCCGGAGTCGTTGCGCGGTTGTTGCTTCCTAAACACTGCTGTACCGCCGATTAACACAGGCAGGCGAAACCGACACGGTAGCAGCGACTGACAGCCACGTGTTATCTGTACTGTCGCCGATCCACACCATCCTACGGAATATAAGTTCACCGCGCCTCCCTCTCTCTTTCTCTCTCTCTCGCTCTTTCTCTCGCCTCTCCTTCGCAATCGCGGGGACGCACGAGAAGGAGGTTTATCGTCGTCGGCAACGGGCCTTCCTCTTGGCGCCACGGACGCGGCGACGGCATTAAGTCGCGGCGCGCCGCGCGAGACTTACTTATAGTCGCAACCGAGTCGTCGCGTCGGTACCCACCGTGGCGCCGCACGCCTCCTTCGACGAGGGACTCCCTCCGGGGCTCTTCTTCACTCTTCTTACGACCCCCTCCGTCGTACGTTACGCGCGTACACCGACGGGCTCATCTTCTTTTTCTACCGGCCGCGCGCGCTCGCTCGCCAACGGTCCAGCCCGGCCCGGCCCCGGCTCCAACAGCTGCTCTCCCCCTGCGCCTTACCACCACACCCCAATACTATATGCATATTCTCGCGTCTCTCCTTCCGAGCCTCGTTGTTGTTCACCTCGTGCTCCTCCGTCGTTCTCCTGCCCGTTCGTGCCCCCCCACATGCAGCACGTTCCTTACTCCCTCGCGCCGTGGCTACCGCGCTTACTCGAATCCGGTCCCCAGGCGACGCTTTCGCCTCTTTTTACGTTTATCCAATTATTCCCGGAAGTTTCGATCGCCTCGCGGGAGGAACGACTCTTCGCTCGCGGATCCTCACTCAGGGGAAGGCGATGGAGCCTCGCCGGGACAGCCGCCGCTCCGGGCGAGAGATTCATCAACCTCTCCTTCGGCGTCCGTCGCGTCGCACATACACCGCCGCGAGCATCGTTGTTTGCACCGATAAACGGACGGATTGCTCAACTTGTGACCTTTGCTTAACTGCTTCGCACGGTGCACGGCAAGAAAATATATATTATACCAGATAATTCTTTCCCGCTCGCCCTCCGTCGCGCCTTCTCACTCCGCTCCTCTTTTTCCCTTTGTCCCTCCGTCTATCCCCTCGTCAAGACTGTGAGTCTAAAAATCCATTGTACATTGTAGACGATCGTCGACTAAGTTTCATTAAATCAACTTACTTGTCGCAAAGCTATCAGAGTTCTGAAAGATAAATAAGCCGCGATTTTGTTACATTTCCCCGTCGCATGCGTTCTGGAGCCGGGATTCTAGGTTCGTCGAGAAGGCGAGCGAATGGTTTTTGGAGCGTCACCTCGACGGGGCCAGCTGAGAGATAACCGTTGCCGTTGTTAGGCTCGTCATCAGTTGATTCCACCATGAATTTTTTGCCCTTGGAGCGAAATCTGTTTGGTGGAAAATTCACTGTTAGATCGTGTCATCGTTGCGAAAAAAGATCTGTGATTGAATTTGGGCGTTGAAAACCTGCTCTCTCATATTAGCAAACTATCTTATATAGAGGACTTTTCTCTAATTGTAATCCGAAGTTCTCCATCTGATGACATTTCGAAGCGTATCGGCCAATACGTTCACAAAGGCAACATTGTTCGATCTTCGTTTTTCACAAAGCGTGCTAGTGTACGTGTATAAGGCGCAGAGCTGCGTTAATTGTGCGGCGTGTATAATTTACGCTAAAAGTCGTCAAGACGGTCGCGCTGCGCGGCAAGAAAACCGAACGTGCACGGAAAGAAAAATGTAGCTACCGTAGCTAACAACTACGTGTGGCAACTAAATCTTAATTGTAAAATACGGGCAGCTGATGTACTTAGTTGTGATAGTCAAATATCTCGCTGCTTTGCCTATTGTATTAAGCGCGATAGCAAAGTAACGGCGTTTGCCGTGGTTTAGAGATTTATAGTTGCGACAGCAAGATACTTTTAGCGAACCATACACTGAAAAAAATTTCTGGTTGAATATGGACGAAACAGATAATTCCTTTAGGATTTACCAGAATTCCTTTAGGATTTACCAGAATTTCTTTAGGATTTACCAGAATTCCTGTAATCCTACAGAAATTCTGGTAAATCCTAAAGGAATTATCTGATTCGTCCATATTCAACCAGAAATTTTTTTCAGTGTAGGCTTGTTTTCTGTTGCTACACTGGTGAACTAGTGCAATAAGTTAGAGTAGGACAAGTGTATTTTTTCTCATTCTAGCTTACTGCACTAGTTCACCAGTGCAGCGATAGAAAAACAAGCCTCATGATTAGCTGCGGTAGCGAAAGTTTTTTCTTCTCAGTGTGGGCGAAAACTTTTGGCTTACGATTACAGCCGACGAACGTTCTCAATGCCCGGATGCGTTTCGACGAGTGATTTATGACGTTGGGTATCTCAGGTAGCCCGGTAGCTTTCGTCAAGACACCTTCTCCCTTCGGTCCTTTTTCGTCGCTGCGCACGTCTGAAACAGATACCGCGGGTACGGAAGGACCGTTCTCACTTAGTCTTAAGCCGTCGCCGGTATATCGAAGATTACTTTGGGACGCGACACTCCGAGTTTGGAGCGGCGACCGAAATTCTAACGGGGCTTTTTTTTTATCGGAATGCAAAAGGCCTCGCGGAGGAAACGCGGCGCTCTCGCCCACGTTACAAGACCTCGGTCGGGGAGATAAATCCCAGGCCGCAGGTTCGTTAATCATCGTAAGGAGAGCGATCCCGGGAGTACGCGTGTCCGTGTCGAGATCGTAAGTGTTCTATCAAGGGTTTCTCTGTTCATCGTAAAATAATATCGATTACTTAATGAGCTCGCCGATGCGGCGGCGGCGACGGCGGCGGCGGCGCTTCACGGGTCGCTTGTCATCCGAGTAAACGCCTCTATCTATACATACAACGTGGCTGTTTACGCGCATGATTTACGTACCCATTTATGTGCCGTAACTCGCCGGAGGTATGTCGTGCAAATTCTCGAGCATGGCGTGGCGCCACGGCGCGACTCGCCTTATATCCTCTTTAAACTACTCCACATTGGCACCCGCGGTATCTATCCGCACTGGCGCCTACAATTCGCCTAATCTCTCCCGGCGTAAAGGTCATCAAACTGTAGACAGTGCGGCGAAAAAGCGTAGCTTCCATTTTTCGCCCCCTTCTTCCTCCGAGCCGCGAGAAGAAATTAATTCCGACAATTTTCATACCAAAGAAACTCGAGTTTATTTATTTCTCCGTCGAGGCGGAAGTGGCAAGGGAGTGAGAGAGGAAGAGATTTATATATTTATCACACGCTGCGGGACAAGTCGCCTAAAGCGTAAGAGCAATTGTTACAAAAAAAAATTAACCGTGAGTGAAAATGCACATGAGAAATATGTAGAAATGAGAATGTAAAAAGGAATAAAAAGAAGTATAGTGTAAAATATAACGACTGAGTAGAATAGCTTAGAGAGCTTAGAGAGAGAGAGAATCAGAATCATTATTTATTACACGCTCTGGGACAGTTCTCTAAAGCACGAGAGCAATTGTTACAAAAAATAAGAGAGAGAAATTTTTTCTTTATTCCGCTGTTGTCGCTATTATTCGCTGCCGGGCAGAGTAATACGGGAGCGAGGAAGGAAGTCACAACAAGAGCCAGGGAGAGGCAAGACAAAGTGAGACAAGGCAGAGCGAGACTGGGCACGAGGCATAAGGTACGAGGTATGAGGCGGAGGGACCTAACTCCGTGCCTCGGTTTAACGAATGCGAGAATGCGGCCTGGCGCCAACGCACACACGGCCGCCGCCGTCGCCGTCGCCGCCGCCGCCGAGCCGCGTCACGCGCTCTCGCCTCTTTCGCCAGCTCTCTTTCTCTCTCTCTCTCTCTGTTTAATGACCTTACCGAAGTTCAAAATACTAAACTGTAACCGATCTTTCGATTTATACGTCCGCCTCGCCCGTTTGAAATATGTCGAGCATATGTAAGACGTATGACGGGATTACTTCAAGATAAATACGAGCCAACTCGTTCTCCGTATCTCCGGGATGATTGTTAGGTTTCCCTCGACAGCCCCGTAGAAAGCGTCTCGATGTTATTCTGTATAGTGTATCCCGGCGCTGCAACACATGGGAGAGAAACCCGATGATATATAATGTAATATAAACACACACATACACAAATCCTGCGAGCTGTTTACTCGCTCTAGCCGGTCTGCTCAACTTGCCAATTTTATAATGACATATATTTGAAAATATACGGCTCGTAAACGACATATATCGTATACTTGAGGAGAGTTATTACCGCAAAATAAAATTAATCCTAATATACTTTACCCCCCTCCTCCTCCTCCTCCTCCTCCTCTTTCTCTCTCGGCTATCGGCGCCCGTATAAGTACATCGTTTCTCTTCGGCGCTCCGCCTGCATCTGTATACCGCATAGCTTCGAGGTATGCAGGCGAACTCCTCCTTTTCTTATCGAGAAAAAGAAACGGTGGAGGAAGGAAGCCGGAGGAGAGCAGAGAGAGAGAGAGAGAGTGGAAGCGGATCGAGGAAGGTAGCGGTGCGGGCAGCGCGATACAACGAGTATAAACGATAGGCGTTTTACATGCTGCATTGAGATATTGGGAGATAATCACCTGGCGTGGGCGGCGAGGACGCTCAGCCGTGAGGGTCGGCCTGCCCCGGCGGTTTTGGGGGCTACCGGATTTCTCGCTTCCAACGTCGTCGATCAGTGGGCTCGCTGTTCTCCCTCGCGCGACGACAAATTTACCCCGTCCCTTTTTCCGCCGCATTCCTTTGTTTTTTTTTCGCCTCCCTAAAAGAAAAGAAACGCCGAGCATCTACTTTATTTTAAACGCAAGCGCGATGGCTTCGCATCGCATTCCTTACTGTTTCCTCTCCGTTTTGCTCCTCTTTCCTGCGTCACATCCTTGCGCAACTCTCGCGACACACGTTTGCGCAAGACTTTTCTTTCATCTTTGCAACAAATAGGCGCGCACTCTTGAGAAACTGGAAAGCACATTGTGAACCTGCCAGCTTCGCTCTCCTCTTTTACCAGAGGGCAGAGCCAATTTCTCGGAAGTTGCGGCCAAGTCCGAATTATATCCGGTAAAAGAAATGTTTGCCTTCGCCTTTTCACGCTTCTGGCATCTGGTCTCTTTTTCTTTCTTTTCCCTATCTCTCTCTCTCTCTCTCTCTCTCTTTCCTTCCGACTCGTTCAGTTTACGCGGCGCCGCGCCGCGTGGTTGACCGCGAAAGGGGGTAAAAGAAGCTGCAAGAGAGAAGATTAAGTTAAACACGTACAGACGATCTAAATCTAGACGGGCGTCGCGAAGACCGCGAGTTTGGCCAGCTTTTCTCCGCCTCTAAATTGAATCACGATGGAATCCGTTTCACCCAAACTCTCCTTCTCCAGCGGTTCACATTGGCACTCGTCGTCCTCGAGACAATCGGAGAATCCCGCCTGGCAATTATCAACCGGCAGTAGAAGCGATAAACGAGAAAAAGACGGAAGGGACCGTTCCAGCTCGGGCCAACTTCCCCCCAGCGAGAAATGACTCGTCGACCGACGAATCATTTCTCACTGGGCCTTTGCGCCAATTCGTGTTATTACCCTAGTAGCACAGTACGTTGGCTAAACATTGCCTAAACGTTGGTCCAACGTTGGTCATATTAGAAATGCATTGGCCGATATTGTCCAACGTAAAGCCAATACTGGCCTACAATAAATATATTAAATATTACACGACGATAATGATATAACATTGTATTTATATTGCAAGTGCATTGGCCAATATTAAATCAATACTGCACTGAAAAAAATTTCTGGTTGAATATGGACGAATCAGATAATTCCTTTAGGATTTACCAGAATTCCTGTAATCCTACAGAAATTCTGGTAAATCCTAAAGGAATTCTGGTAAATCCTAAAGGAATTATTTGATTCGTCCATATTCAACCAGAAATTTTTTTCAGTGTGCTAAATAGACATATTGGCTAAATAAGAGAAGGCGTCCATCTTACAATATTGGACCAATTTTGGGAATGCTAGATTCACATTATTTCCCAATATTGCGCCAGTATATTGTGCCACCAGGGTGATTCCAAGCGCGAGTATCTTACACAGGAATTCTTTAGGTGCGTCGCGTGTACCAACGCGGTCGGAGAATCGTGTATCATTTGGAAATACCGTATACGCCCGGTCGTCGCGATACCCCGCGCGACGTTGAGAGCCTCTGACGCGTGTGTTTACGATGGGGATTTAAAAAGTCGGCGCCCAGCCCGTGCCCTTCCGCCGCGCCGCCGGCCCACGGCCGAATAATCCCCGGCCGAACTTTTCACTTCCATCGCTCTCCCTTGTTTCTCTTGTTTTCTCGTACACGGACACACCGCGGGCCCTCCGCGTTCTCGCCGCAGCAGGGACCGGCGGGAGAAACGGCGGCGTCGGGGGCGTCGTGGGTCGACGCATCGGGGCGCCCGTCGTCGCGTCGGACCCCGGGGAAGCCTTCCACGTCGCGAGATGTAGGGCGTGCACCCGCCGCTTCCTGCACACGATACCAAAACACCATTAACATTCTTCCGACGAACATCCCAGCGGGTGACGCGCTAGCAGTTCGCTCCGGTGGATTCGAGCGCAGCGTCCAACGCGGATCGGCGCCGTAAAAACCGAGCGGAAGATATTATTTTGTAAACATTTAGGTGGTGCGCGTTTCTCGTTTGAATACGAAACGGCAGATCTGCTCGGCAGACCCTCTTTCTCTCGATCTGCCTCGAAGAACACTCCGCTCTATTTCCGCAGACCGTTCAGCCGATGAAGCTTGTACAATAGCTGGCACCTTGTAAAATCTGTCTTCGATAAATTCGGCTACTTGACTTTTTTTTAAGTTTACTTTTTGTGGGAACGCCTTTCGACGGTTACGTTATATCAACGTGATATTTCTAAGAATTCCTTGAGAAACGCACGCTTAATTTTTATTAAACATTAAATCCGAGGCTACACTGAAAAAAAACTTTTCGCTACCGTAGTCAATCATGATTTGCCAAGAATATTTTGCTACGTTACCTATATATTTCTAAAGCACAGCAAACGGTTCGCTGTCGCACCCAATAGGCGCGGTAGCAAAATATTATCACAACTAAATGTGTATGGATATGTGTATCTAAAAGACGCCTTAGAGATGCCTTTTAAACATGCGTGCTGTATGGGAAGAGCGTTTTTAGAATATTCGTCGAGAACGCCCTTGGAATATTCGTTCAGAATAATTTTTTAATTCATCGAGTTTATGTATTGCACATTGTGTAATACATTTGTCTTACGCAAAAGACAGTGAAACCTGTGATCATACTATATGTATATCTAACCGACTATATTCGGTAGATTATTCTATTCACATTCGAAAAAGATTTATAGCAGTCGAATATTCTACGAACATAAGATAAATACATAAGAATGGCCTATGGAATATTCCAAATACTGTTGAAGAATATTCTTAAAATTTTCGTAAGAGTGTCTCGTGCTATCTGGGTATGGGAACATCACGCAGCGTCCTTTCCTTCTGCACGCCGAAACGCCTACCGTCCTCAGCTGCGTGATACAATCGTTGCCCTCGCGGCAAATAAAGCAAACTTTGCCCTCCAAATATCGCGTTTTTTTCCGGGGAAATGAAGTTGAGTTTTCGGAATACAGACGTCATCTTCTTACCGTTCGCACAACTCAAACACTGAAAAAAAAACGTTTCATTGGATAAATCGATCAAGTAGTGTTTCCGATGGAAAATTAACGATCGGTTTTCTGATTAAGTTTTCCGATTAAATTGTGGATATATTCGATGAAATTTTATTGAAAACCCGATTATATTCTTCATCGGATGTACAATTTAATGGAATATATTTGTTAGTGTGCAATTGATTATCCGATTAGAGAGGCAAGGATATTTTGCTCACGTATGTATATTGTGCATAATGTCGATGCATTTCCGACATTCCTAACTTTCCGCGGAAAACAGCGAGAGCCACCGTCCCTCACCGGACGTCCGAGACGTACCTTTCTTCGCCAAACGACGAGGTACGACAATTGAAAGAAACGATCGGATCTCGTGCCGTCCGCCGCCTGTAAATGGCGAACCGCCGCCGCAACGGTCGCGGTCGTTCGACTTGGAATTTGCGTATCGTCGCGTCACCCATCGGCGCGTTGGCCAATCCTCAGCGCAACCGCAACCGCTGCCACGGCACGCAGTAACCCAATGGCCGCGTTCAGCAGACACAACTGTCGAGTGAGCGCTCAGTATGATTGGTTAATACTTTTAGATCCAGCCAATCACGTTAAGAAATCATTGAGCGCCCACTCAATGGCTACGTTCAGCAGAAAAAGCTGCTTTGCAATTGTTGTAAAATTCATGAATCTGATTGGCGTATACTCTTAAATTCACTGAAGATTAAGAGAATACACTAATCAGATTCACGAATTTTACAACAGTTGCAAAGCAGCTTTTTCTGCTAAACGCAGCCAATGAGTTTCTTAATATGATTGGCTGGATCTACAAGTATTAACCAATCATACTGAGCGCTCACTCAATGAGTTTCTTATATTGTTGAGTAGGAAATTTTAACTTACAGTTATGTAACTGTTATTTTTGTGTTTGCTGGGAAAATATAAAAAATTTAATCAATCAAGTTTTCAGAATGTCACTTAAAAATTTAATAGTTAATATAAACAACGTAAAATGGATTGAAAGTTGATTTATAATTGCCATAAAGTCGACTTCTGATCGCCATAAAGTAGACATCTAATCATCATAAAGTCGACTTATAATTGCCATAAAGTCAACTTCTAAAGGCCTGTATCCACGATGCTAGAACTTGGTCCAAGTTCTAGTTTCGAGAAATGTGTAGCCAATCAATTTGCAGCTTTTATGAAATAACTGCAAGTTGATTGGCTACAGATCTCTCAGAACTAGAACTTGGACCAAGTTCTAGCATCGTGGACACAGGCCGTAATTCGACTTTTGGCTGACTGACAGTCGACTATAGTCGAGTCATTTGTCGACTATAATAGCGTTTTCGATTTGCTGACTCGACCCGACTCCGAGTCAGAAAAGTTTGATCAAGAGTAAGATTTTTGTAGAAATTGTGGTTCAAATCTTGCTTTTGATCAAACTTTTCTGACTCGGGGTCGGGTCGAGTCAGAAAATCGAAAACGCTATTAGTTGACTATAAGTTGACATTCAGCTTGACTTTGAAGTCGACTTTAGACTTTTTCCGCCGACGCGGCCTCGCGGCTTGATCAGCCTCGCGGTTCGATCAGTCCTGGGGTTCGATTCTTGAATTTATTCGAAGGAGAAACGTATGCAAAAATTCTGCTCTTACAGAAAAGTTGATTAGCTACTCGCATGGCTTTAACCAATAGATTTTCAACTTTTCTGTCAAAGCAGAGTTTTCGTATACGTTTCTTCTTCGAATAAATTCAAGAATCGGGCCCCTGCTTTCTCGCGCTAATCAAGCGGCCGAATTCGTTTTTTGTTTGCACCCGGCCCCGCTTAGCTTAGAACCGGCTCTGACGACTGCGCTCTATGAAAACGTGACGCCCGAATAACCGAATGGGACGGAGAACAAAGGGACTTCGTTGCTATGTTCAAGCGTGACGTTCTTCGGCGCGTCTTTGACACACGGGCAATTTCGGCAGCCGAAGACCTTAGCTTACGGATTCATTTAAACAATATCTATTGCTATTCAAACATTTCCTCTATTCTGCGCAGGTGCGCGTGTATCATTTCCGCCACTAGGCTTCCTCATAGGAACTGTAGCCCCCACGTGTTGTCAGCGCTCGCCGCGTCGCTGGTATAAGCGCATTCTGGGTAACGTGTCTGTCGCGTCCTCCTCTCCCTGCTCCGCCTTCGTTCGCGCGACATTGTGCAACCGCAACATTTGTGTGGCAACGTTATGAGACTCGCGACAAGACACGGGTCGAGCGCGAGAACGTGACGGGCCAGCGAGCGAAGCGAGCGATCGCGCAGTGAACGGAGTCGCGGATCGGCGAACGTTGCCCTTTGACCGTTCGTTAAACGCCCGTATTTCTCTCTCCCTCTCTCTCCTCGTCCCGTTTCGTTTCCTCTCTGCCGTACTCGGGGAAGACTTGGAGCAACGTCGTGACAGGCCCGCCGCAGCGTGGGCCCGTGGAGTATCCCGTGAATATCCCGGCGCGTCGTCGCCCGACGACATCCCGTAGTTCACGCCGCAGCCGGGCCTCGCGTGCCACGCGCCTACGAGAATGCTCGACCTAACAGTGAAGACCTTGGACTCGCAGAATCACGTCTTCGCCGTGGAAGACGACGTAAGTCGCTCCCCCACCTCTCCCAGTCCCCGTGGTCACGTGTCGATCGCCGGCGTAGTTCTCGCCGCTGCCTCGGCACGGAGTCTCCCGACGTCCCCCAGGACACATCCGGGGATGATCGGAGCGGACGTGCACACGCGGCTTGTCCCCGTAGCACCGAGTGTGCACGCCATCTCCCATGTGGATCTCTTAAGGCTGGTCTACAATACATGGAGTAAGCTGGAGTAAGGAGTAGGAGTAAGGAAATAAATCCATTTTATTTCTTACTCCTACTTCAGCTCTTAGGCTTACTCTCGGTGAATCAAAATGCCATCAACCAGTGTTACAATTATTTTAAAAATCATGCCCGTATTTCAGCTTCCTTACACCAAAAGCTAGAAGTTAGGGCTCTCCCTTACTCCTTACTCCACATATTTGTAGACCACGCATTATTTGTCTAATTACATAATGTATGTCTGTATACTCTATATTTCTCTCTTCCCTGAAGCAAATCACGGTACGCGGCTTTAAGGAGTACATAGCAGAGTCCGTCGCGGTACCAGCCGACTCGCAGAGGTTGATTTATTGTGGACGAGTGCTTCAGGACGACAAGAAATTGAAAGATTACGGTACGTGTACACACATCGCACATACTTGCGTAGATAACTTGCCGCGATAAGCTGCACGGGACGCGGCGACAGGCGTGCACTGACGTCTACGTGATTCTTCAGATTGCAATGGGAAAGTTATTCACCTGGTGCAACGCGCGCCGCCCCAACCTGGCCAACACGGGAACGACGGCGGGCAGACCCAGGGCCAGAGGCAGGGCTGGCAGAGCTCGCAGAGGCCGCATTATCGGGTCACGCGCACCCAAATGCATGGAAACGCGATGTACCTGGGTGCCATGTCTGTGCCAGCGGAGATCGTCGAGGGTCATGGTAATATTCTGAGCTTCCTCCTGTTTTCTCTTAAAATTTCTCTCTGTACACTTGTTGCGTCTTATTATTCTTGCATTTCGATCCCCCAGGAATACCGCAATTGAGCAATAGCTTGTCCGGTAGTCGGCTGAATCATGCCGGTCGCATGCTCGATCGTATAAACGAACTGATCGATCGACTGGACGATCCCAGCTTACCTCTGCACCCGCCTCCGGAACTCAACCAGTCGACTGCGCAGCAGCAGCATCAGCATCAGCATCACCACCAGCATCAGCATCAACATCAGCATCAGCATCCTCAAGAGTCTGAAATTGAACAGAACGAGTAAGTTGAGCGACCACTTGGGTCCTAGGTTTTCTCGCGTGGCGCAACAATGCTCTTGTAATTCTTCAGGAACAACGACGTTTCTAGAGATGACGGTGCTAGACTTGCCGAGGCAGCCGCCGCCGCTATCACAGCCGCGTTGTCAGCAGCTGGAGCGCGCGCAGTAACACTGTTCAGAGGTTTATACATTCGCGAGCCTGATTCCATTGGCTGCGTTCGGCATTGCAAATCGTTGAAGTGCTCTTCCTCTCTTTTTATTTCATTCTCCTCTCGTTCGCTTCAATGCAAGAGAGCGCTCAGACACCTCAGATATGCAATGCCGAACGCAGCTTTCGTTGACGGGCTGGACATAATCTTGCAAATTCGGTGATATTCAGGAAGCAGTTATAACGGTGGGAACACGAGAACTTCGAGCGATGCAAGTGAGCGTCAGAGTGATGTGCAACCACCACAGTCCCCGTCTCAGTCTCAATCTCATTCTCAATCTCAATCTCAATCCCAGTCTCAATCTCAGTCTCAATCCCAATCGCAATCGCAACCGCAGCCACAGGCACAGTCGCAACAGCAACAAACACAAGCGGCTACGGAGGGAGCAACATCGAGCAACGCTGGCCAAAGCAGACGAACTCAGCAGCAGGAGTACGCGTCCATTTAGATTATTTGATGAGCTAATTAGCAGATGTAGATGTATACCTAATCGTTAATTATTTGTCTTTTAGGCTCCCGCGACCTCCGCAAATGGCAGAATTATTGCAGAGATTGTGCAACACTCAAGATCGGCTGAGACCATACTTGGAACGTTATTGCATGCTTACGCTTCTCGATCCTTCGCTACCGCCCGGGGTAAGTGACCTCGATATTGATCGTCGAACGCGCAGTTAGGCACAGTTCCGCTTTACTGACGGCGACCATTCATTGTTTAGACCGGACCGAACACCGTAGAGGAAAGTCAGAGAATAGTGGACGGAGTTAGTGAAATTCTGCACCTTATGTCGCACAGTTGTCACGCGCTGAGTGATATTATTATTGACATGAGTCAACCGCCACCTAGAAACTTGCGGTGCCGACCAATAATAGTACAACACTCGGCCATTCTGCAGCCTGGTATACCGATCCAGGTAGAGGTGAGCAGTTGACAAAAAATACACAAGACAGAAATAACTAAATACCACGTGCCTATTTGTCCAAGCAATTGATACTGTCTCTCAATATATTCCTTTTTTTTCCTATCTCTCACAGGCTCATATCAGTTTGAACGGTCGTAGCGCTAATAACAACAACAGTAACGACGAGACGACAGAGTCTGGTAATCAGGCGCCGGCGGACAACGCGGATTCGGGAACTTCGTCACGTGTTAATACTGAGGAAGGTAATCAAGAGCGAGACCATGTGGCGCAGTCGCAGGAGGAACGGCCGCAACAAGATCAAGGCCAATCGCCTTTCGGTACGTTTCGTTTTATCGCGATACGATTCTCTGGACAACAAGACAGTATGGAATACATGTTGCTGTTTGTTTTTTTTTCTAGATACAGTATTCAATTTGCCGAACAATGTTGAAGTGCTGATGGAAGTTAGTTCCGAGAGCAATATAGATGCTGGATCGAGCAATGAACAGAACGCGTCGGGCAATGAAAACAACAATAACGCCCGTAAGCTATTGTCGCTACTCACCGTGTGTTACGCGACGCGTTTGGGGAGAGAAACGACGTTTGCCTATTGAACATTTTCCATTTTGCAGGCAGGACAAACGTATTTCCGTTCGGCACACCACCGCCGCCGTATTTCATGCGAAACTTTATGCAAGCCGTTGCCGGGCACATGGTGCACGGCGGTATCACCACTACTTTGAGCTCGAGAACCCCTCCCGTCACTACCGTCGGAGTGCAACAGGGTATCTCCTCGTCGATGGATAGCGGAAGCACGAATGCCGGTCAAAGCACTCAAGCACGGTACAACGTTATCGATGATATTGACAATATTTTTGTAACACCATTCAATTAGCTTATAACTCGTATGACATTTTTCCTTATGTTTCATTAGGTGTAAATTTTTCTTAACTCTAAAATTCATTCTTTAAAGTACGTTTAAATATTTTTGTAACGCTATGCAATTATCTTACAATTTGTATGACATTTTCCCTTATTTTTTTATTAGGTCTAAACGTTTATTAACTTCATATAAATTCGTTGTTTAAAGTACATCTGATATTAAGTAATTCTGAAAAATATACAGAAGCAACACTGGTACTCATCCTACCACCGCTACACAAACTCGAAGTACGTCACGGCCGCACGTGTTCCATCACCATGCTCATCCAATGGGTCTTGGTATGAGTATTGGGCTGGGTCTTGATTTCGATCCGTATCTTCCGTGCAACTCGCATCATGTGTATCGCTCCCCGAGTACCGCGTCCAGCAGCGCGACCGGCGTGACAACTTCCTCGCAAACAACGCGCACGACGTCGACAGCTACAGCAGACGCTCAGAATCAAACTAATCAAACCGGTGGGTAATACGAGGATAACAATTTGTTGTTTTCTTTTTTGTAAATGCGCGTTTCTACAATGTTGGAAAAATATTTTCTAGCGACGACTTCGACCACGACCACCAGTGCCACTTCTACGAACGCAACATCGGCCACGAGTGCGGAAACAGCTACTAATAATTCCTTCGCGAATTTTTTGCACCACATGTTAAGTCAGTCGGCGGGCGGTCAGTCGCAACCTAACATCAGCATCAATAGTAATGATAATTTTAATATTATAATAATGGATTTTAATATTTACTTCGATATTGACATTTGATCATGTTACAGCTCCAAATTTGATGGAAAGTCTTGGGAATATAATGCAGATGCTTGGTAACAACATACACGTAGGATTCTTGAGCGATGGGTGCGTTAAATTATGATTAAATCATTCACATTATGAATATACATAACACTAAATCGCGTAATTCTCTTGATGATCAGCTCAATCGAGAATGCTCCTACGTTGGCTGATCTATTCGAGGGTGGAGGACTATCTATGGATCTCTTCACGTCGCACGAACCTGGTAGAGAAGAGAATTTCCTCGTCGACCTCTTCGTATTGCTGGTAATTTCATCATTGCGTTTATTACGAGATCGGTATAAACTTTATCGTTCACGACGCTAAAAAGAATTCGTACCACACAGGCACAAACTATGACTCTGGATGGATTGATTAGAGTACGTCTCGGTCAGTGGGAGCCCATCGCTCGTCTCCGAAGACCGCTACAAGGGTTCCTGCAGTACACGTTCTCGAACGCCTCATCACCGGAGGCCCTTCAAGAGCAAGCGACCGAGCGTTTAATTTCTCAACTACGACCTCACATTCGGAATCTCCTGGCATCCGAGGAAGACACCAACAGCAGGGGTGGGTCTCGCATTGACGTCTGCGCGACCATCGAATCGTTGATCGCTCGCCACGAGAGAGATATACTTAGAATCTTATTCGACAACGGTTGGTATTTAACTTCGTGTTGTATACTTCTTAAAATCAACGAATCGAATTCACACGTTGGATTTGCAGGAGTCGACGATGTGAGGTTCGGACAGGATATATTGAGCATTCTAATCAATATGTGCAGCCAGATCTGTACGGTACTTCGGTACTCGCTGCGCGGCGGCCAAACTGGATTGGAGGCGATCGCGACACGTTTCATGGTTCGTCTCGATTCTCTTAAATCTGATACAAGAACGCGAGGGGTATTCGCGTGTGTTTCACTAACGCGATTTGGTTGCTTACTTTGTCCTTAGCGTGACTTGATGGACGGTGGTAATCCCGCTCTTCTCCAGTGGGTGCTGAACGGATTTATCACCCACCTTCGTACTTACTTTTTGTGCGTCCCGCAACCCCCGGATTCAGAAATCATACCACTTTTAGTGTACAGGGATGCATCTTCCCAATCGTCATCGGTATCCTCGGCTTCGAGCCGGCTATCTACACAGGCGCAACCGGATGACGAGGTAAGCAATTCTCATTTTTTTACCGTTGTAATATACAATAATATAATAATCTAATGTAAAGCCGATGGAAACCGAGACTCTGGAGCCGCAACAACAGCAGCAGCAGCAGCAACAGCAGCAGCAACAGCAGCAGCAGCAACAACAATCAACACGTGAAGGCTCGGTACCTGAGGATCGAGAAGAAATCCCGGAAACATTCCCTGGCCACGAAGCCCTACCTTCGGTATGTCAATGTGCAAGGAAGAATTTTTGTCTAACTCGTAACAACCAAGACTCTTAAATCAATCCAAAAATTTATTTAATATACATTCAGAGATAATTCAAAATTGCTGTTGCGCATCATATATAGAGGAAAGTCCCCTATTATAAAATAGGCTCTTAATATGAGATAGCGGGGGGTTTCTGTAAAATTAATAGACGTCGTGTGTTGATTCCACTATGCACTTATTGTCTTCGGAGCGAAATCTGTTTGGTGGAAAATACATTGCTAGATCGTGTAACCGTTGCGAAAAAAGATTTGTGATTGAATTTGGGTGTTGAAAGCCTGCTGTCTCATATTAGAAACCGATTTTATAATAGAGGACTTTCCTCGACATCAATAAGAACGATGCATCATTTTCTAGGATTGGGTACCAATTATCGCTCGCGATGGCGTGAGACAGCGCAGGCAGTTGCAGATGCAGGGTGTAACGCCAAACAGCGGCGTGACGACGTTCAGCGACGCGTATCTAGGCGGTCTGCCGAGCAAACGTCGCAAGCTGATTGAACAGCAGAAGCCGCGGTTACTAGTCAGCCCCACGCCAAATCATCATTCGACGATAGCGGCGTCCATGGAGCGGCTGGTCAGAGAAGGGGTCGGCCGTGCCGGCGTCGAGGAGGTCGAGGGTGCCGCCGTGGCCGTCGCGGCGGACCCTGCTGTGCGACGCGCGTTTGGTCAAGCGATTAGGGACTGCTTAAATCCGTACCGGTGCGGCACGCCAGACTTCCCGGACCCATTGCGCTTCCCGAACGCGACCAAGTACTTCGCGGATCAGGAGCGCCCGCCGAAATAAGCCAACGGCAAGATATAATATACTGACCGCGCTACCAAAGGAGATATCGAGGAATAGACAGTTGTTGTCCCGGGAGAATCGACGCGCAAAGAACAATTCCCTTAAAAAGAAAGAAAAAAAAAGATTAAATATTATATAAAAAATATATTTTCTCTCCCTCTTTTCTCAATGGAAAAGGAGAGAGAGAGAGGATAAATACATTTTTAACTGGCTGATCAGTACGGGGCAAATGTATTTGTTGTACTATCTATATGCTCATATCAATAACTGCTTTGATAGATTCACACGTTAATATAGAATTACTCTCCGGATTAAATTTATAATTAGGTAATATTTAGGATCTCCCTTAAATCGAATTTTCCATTAAATGTCAATTTCAGGAGAAATTAATATCATTTTTGCGGAAAATTGATATTATTTCCGTTGAAAGAAAAACACGAATACCCTGTATATACACGAATGTAAAAATTGTTAACTGCGCACTCGTCTATTTATGATTTTTTTGCACTTTCTAATTTTGGGTTGTCTCCTCCATTTGCGTAAAATGTTTTTTCTCTCTTTATAGTTCCTTTCTTCCCATTAAGTTATCTGTTTCAAATTCCGGTTCCATTGCCATGGTCATAAGAAGAATAATAGACACCGACTTTGGAACATTGTTTCCCTTAGTCAAATTTTGTTGAAAGCGATGACGTAGGTTTCGGGCAATGTTTTATCGCGGATACGTTTCGTGCAGATAATTTAATAGCGCATTCGATTGCTTGCACTAATGCGCACTGAGTGCATGCCAAGACTTGTTTCTAGTCAGTTCTTATATTCAAAGATCATCTGAAATATCTCCCGCAATGTTTCTTATCCAGAAAAATGGTCTGTAGCAACGTTTACGCGGGTAATTTTTTTACTAAATACTCTTCGAACATGTACTCTAAATTGTATTTAAGACCGACTTAAATACACACTGAAAAAAATGTCCGATTAAATATAATCGGATAATCCAATTACATGATAACAAACGGATATATCCGATGAAAAATTTGATCGGTTTTTCAATCAAATTTCATCGGATATATCCATAATTTAATCGGAAAAATTAACCATCGGACATACTATTTAATTGGTTTATCCGATGAAAATTTTTCTCAGTAGCAAGAATTGACCACAAACAAGCCCCAGCGTGCACTCCGGTATGCGCTACTACAAACAGCCGAATTCGCTGACGAATCTTTCGAGATTCGAATGCTCGAGGACGATTTCGGTGCGGTGTCTTTTTTTGTTTTGTTGCAACGCATATTCTCTACACGAGTCACACGTCGAGAATAACGGGCAAATTACCGCGTACATCGCGTGATTATAATAACGTGCTGTATGTTTAATCGTTCTAATAACCAAACAGTTGTATGGAGAAATGGAGTAAAACAATAAAGTTGTGTATCCCTTTTTCCTTCGTCTTATCGCGTCGAACTTGGCCGAGCTGCATCTCCGATCCTGAGTAAGTAAGATCGTCGGTTAGCGGATAATCTCGCTTGAATAATTAATTCGTCAGACCACCGGGGGGGATCGTTAGAATTCTCGCGGCGGTGGCGAGCGCGCGGCTTAATGCCCGGGATTAACGTAATGCACCCTTTCGGTGGCCGAACGGTGTGAAAACAAGTGGCAAACAATTACCCGGCGCCAATTAAAGAGCGCGACATTAGAATATTTACGGAATTTATCAAGCAGATTAGAGAGACGAGCGAGCTACGTTATCTCGTCGCTCTGTGACATTTTATTATTCCTTATCTTCTCCAATCTCTCGTCAATTCGTCGGCCGATCGGAACCGATTGCCGAGCGCGTCGACGCATGCACCGCGCCGTACCATCGTGGCACGCAACATCTGTAATGCGTGAGAGCCGCCGGTGATTACACGCGTGACTGGCCGTCGCGCCCGCCGAGAAATCGGATCGCTTTACGTGCGGTCCACCCCCGCGCGCCCGATATCGTCGAATTAAATTTTCATAATCGCACGGGAGGGCGTGGGAAGGGTCGTTATCGAGATCGCAATTGCGGCGAGCCGGGAGTAGGACGGGGGGGGGGGGGCTCTCGCCAAGTTTCAGGCTCGCTCGCCGTCGCCGTCACCTCGGGGCGACATTATCCGAATTCCGCTTCGAGTGCGCGCGCGAGCGCTGTCTACAAATCCGATTTCGAGTATCTCCGACTAACGAGAGCAAATTCAGCCCGATTCGCGGTAATCCTGTTTGCGCGCGCGGGCGCAATCTGGAAAAATCTGGATTACGAAAATTTCCAATCGATAATCGGGAGTGTTTACAGGCCGGCGGCAGTGAAAACAACGGTGATTTAATTCCCGCGAGGAGCGGACTTTCAGTTTATCGTCGGCGGGGCGGGGGGGGGGGGAGGAGGGAGGTGGGATCTTAGATCGAGACGAGATCGGATTCCGGGCAGTTCCGTCGCCCGTGCACGTGCGCGTTGCGGCAAGGCGCTTCCTTAATCGCCGGCGATCGCGTTACCGCCGCGTGCGATCGAGCGATACGGAGCGAGGATTTATTCGCGACGACAACCCGCAGGGCTGTTCTCTCCGCCGGGCGTGGGTCTCTCCCGCGAATTACGAATTACAACGTAACGCCGTGCGACGCGTCTCCTTTTCGCGCGGCGGCGGCGAAGGCGCGGCATCGTTATACACGGCTCGGTTTTTCCGACTCGCGTCGAAATGCAACAATTTCGCGAAGCGGTCCCGGGCAGGAGAGACGACGCGCATCGGTCGCGGACGGCGGAACGCGGCGACGTTGCTCGCCTCTTCGGGGGAGAGACGGGGTTTTTTTTTTCGCCGCGAGGCGACGAAGACGACGTTCCCGTCGCGGCTCCCTTTCCGCGCTCGGAGAGCAGAAGAGACCAACGGGAATATACACCCCTCTTCCCTCGCCGTTCGCCGCCGGGCCCGGGGTATATCCTCGACCGCGTATACCGCGCTTACACCACGTACCGCGCGTCCACACGTACGTACACGCGGCGCGGCGCGGCGCGGCCGAAGGCTCGCGAGGGGAAGAGCCGCGTAGAAAGGCATAATAAAGGCAGGCAGAGAGTATACCGATGTCCGCGCGGACTCGACGACCGGCTGTCAGGCGGCGGCTCGGCGCGGGGGCGCGCGCGATTGGCCGCCGGGCCGCCGTTCTTTCGGCCGGATTGGCCTTTTTCGCCGCGCGACGACGCCTCTTTATTCTGCCCGTGGGCGTCGCCGCGGATTTTTACGCGCGCGGGTTGGCCGCGCCGCGCCGCGCGCGAGTCTTATAGGCGCAGTCCCGCGCGTCTCGAGCATCGCCAGTCGAGCGGTCCGCGCGGACTCGGGCTGGTCTCCTGGGCTGGCGTTGCCGGTGCTGCCGCTATGAGGCCCCGAGGTTAAGACGCCTTGGCAATCAAGTAGAACCTCGGGCAAGCAGGGCCGGTTACGGCGCGCGGCGCGGCGTCGCGTCGCGCCGGTACACGGGGAGAAAGAGAGCGCGAGAAGGAGCGAGACGGGAACGTACACGAAGGCGGCCATATTTAGAAAAGGAAATCAGCGAAGAGCATTTCGCGCCGCGTACCACCGAGCTACTCCTCCTCCTCCTCTCTTTCTCTCTCTCTCTGCGACCCTCCATTCCGCAACTACGACGGCGACGACCACCTTATCGTTTCGCTCTCGTTCCCCGGCTTCGGTTCGATCTCTATACCGGGGGCTCTTTCCGCAGCCCGTCGCTCCAATGGATTTGACAGATGAAAAGTAACAGGCCGCCTCTCTCGCTTTTTCTCTCGCGCGCGCACCGATACTTCTTCGCCGGGGCGAATATTAACGGGAAGGGACGGCGGGAGGGGAGGGCGAGTGGAAGGCGCGAAATAAGTCACGTACTTTTTCCCGCGTGTAACGGCGCCCCGACGCTAATAACGAATCGTCTTTCGCCGTACTCCACCCTTCATTCTTCCAATCTCTCTCTCTCTCTCCCTCTCTCTCTCCCTCTCTCTCTCTCTCTC